CCCGATTTGGACCCTCGATGGAAACGTAGTCGATGGAAACGTAGTCATGGAAACGTAGCATATGCAGCATAAAATACATATATTACAGAGTTGTCACGCTTACGTCAAAGTGTAGGTATACTATAAAATGGCGACGCGAGCAAAATCAGGGGGAATGTTACCTAAGCGCCCCGTTTTTTAAAAAGATAATAAATAAAGCAACGAGAGACAATATTCGACAAGAAAACTACTCTTTTTAGCGAAACAGAGGTCATAGCCAATTTAAATGCCTATACCAAATGAATCGAGAGTAGGAATGCGATTTCGACGTGGTATATGAACATGGCGGCACAGAGTAAATCAGGGGTAACACTCACTGTCGGCATCTCTGTTCTCTCGAAAACCAAACAATAGCTATAACAAGAGGCAACGCTAGACAAGGAAACCCACCTCCTAGAGAGAGATGACTCGACGAATAACTTTCATACACTTTTCAAGTGTTTTACTCAGCAAATGATTAATTATCAATCAAGATAACAATGTCGAATAAACCTATGGTGTCCTGATAAAAATCGAATTTTTTTTATAAAAATTCAAAAAGTCAATGCAACGACTAATGATTTTTCGATTCGTGAATTTCTAGGGATTTAGTGTGAGTTGGTACCTATGCACACCAATAACTTCCTTCAATGATATCTTATAGCTATTAGAGATAGCATACAAAATCGCTGACAATGATTTATCGCAGTGATTATAAAATCATGATCACAAGCACGATTAAACATTATTCACCATCGTAATCCGAAAGATGGCGTTTTAGGAATGATTCACGTTAAAATATGAATGAGTGTTCCGCTTAAACCCCTTAGTGAAAATTCGAAAATATCAATTTAATATGTACCATTATTCATATTAAGTTTTTATACCTTTTATGTTGTACACACACACACACACACACACGCGCGCGCGCGCGCGCGCGCGCACACATATATATATATATATACACACACACTAAAGAGTAGGGATACAACTAGCGGCGACACTAGACAAGGCAACCTACCTCCTAGAGAGAGACAATAGATATAGCTAATTTAAATGCTCAAATCAAAAGAATCAGGAGTGCGCATGTGTATAGTGTAGAAGCATAGAGTATAGACAAAGAGTAGATATAACAAGAGACAACGCTAGACAAGGAAACCCACCTCCTAGAAAGAGATAGAGGATACAACCAATTTAAATGCCCAAATCAAAAGAATCGGGGGTGCGCATGTGCATAGTGTAGAAGTATGGCGGTCGAAAAAGAATAGTTTAAACCTGCATTTTCACCAGTAATTTATTTGTAATAGATATTATGTCATATCTCTGCATCACATTCATCTGTAATTTTTTGTGATATATAGTTTTTCATTTTCTTATAAGTTATGTAATAATCATTTCCTAGATACATATTCTTCAAATATATTTTGTAGAGTAATCATTTGGTATATTCTTTTTTTTTTCAACTTTTCAACGACGTAAAATTGATGCAAATACTTCAAAAGACAATATTAGTAATATACAAAAAATTTATTATAAACACATTCCTAATTATTAGAGATTGACATGAAACTAGATTCGCTTGATTTAAATTTTCCACTCGTTTATACAACTAATTTAAAGGGACAGCGCAGCGGTTTCGAAAGATCAAAGGTGCTGATAGAGAGTCAGCAGACATTTTGAACAATCTTTGAACTGACAATTAGACTATTGTATTGTACGTTGATATCAGTTTTTATCTAAAGTTTCGTTTAAATACTTATATTCTATTTAATATAATAAACTATTAAGTTCGGCGGATTACAGCATGATAAAGGATGTTGGCTTACTTCTTTCTTGTGGACTCTTCGTTTACCAGATTTAGCACCAGTGGATTTCTTTACAACTTTTATGAAGTTGTAAAATAAGTTGTTCATTATCCAGGCTGAGAAATCATGTTCGTTAAACAATTACAACATCCAATTGAACATGCTTTCTGTCACTTATAACGAAAAAGAAATATGTATGCAAAGAAATAATTTTTATCATTGTATTCTGTTACTTACAAAACGAATGAAAATATTTGACAAGACCACTTTTGTAAGAGAAGTTAAATGGGATTCTTTAGGAGAATGTTTTTGAAATTTACAATCATTAGACTTTATTTTTTATAAAAGCCATTCTTGTGTGTTAGCTTCTGCATGGTCGCCATTGCTGTTTAAGCAAGTAGGCATCTGGATTTCCATGTTCCGTCTAAGATTCTCTCCAAAGTTTCACATTGATTTTACGCGGCAGAATGCATATTCAACTCTACATTTTAATTGTGTTACTGACGTAATTTGTTCTCTGATCGATAAACAATATCTTTTACGACCTTCCAAAGGGAGAAATTCACTGGTGTTAAATTTGGTGAAGGAAAGGCCATTAGTAAAGAACACGCCCTCGTCTGATTCATTATGTTTCAAATACTTCATTCATGAATTGATTAACCGGTCAAGTAGAATCGAATTATGATTACATATAATTACATTAATAGAATAAATACATACAAATATGTCTTTATCGCGATATAATTTGGCGTAATTTGTTTAAGTGACTAAAGCGTAAAAATTGCAGATACGTGACACTACTCAATCGTGTAGGTAAATAAATAAAGCTAATAACGTGATTCGCAATTAATCCTGCCCAAATGTATATGATGAAGTGCTCTTAATTAAATTATTCGATCATTACATGCAGATTTCTATACACCCATATTCTGACATTATTTATTACTCCTTGAAAACTTACTTTTATTCGAACATAATACACATTTCAAAAAGCGTGAGTCACGCTATAATTTATGTGACATCCAATTGTAGAAATTTCTTCGAGCTAGTCGTTTGAACATGTAGAATTTTATATGATCGCAATCCTTCTTTGCGTATGACATATCGTGTAGTAAAATAAGTGATTCTTGCTCGTCGAACGGCGCTCCGTAAGTCCATTAGATATATTTCACGAAACAAAGAATGGTTTCATCTTGGTTCATCAATAGCTCATAACGTTGCTCAATATTTCTATACCGAATTATGTCGCTCTTTACCGTGCGGCTACTAATGTTAAATTGACTCTTAGAGGATTTTGAAATGATAGAATACAGCGTTGAATTCTGCCCAAATTTTGGAAAGAATCAGAAGTTAAAGAGGAAGAGGAAAATGTGATAAAACGAATTTTGCTCTGCCTATCACCATTCAATGAACTACAAATACAAACAATTACTCACCATTACGAGAATATCTACGTACTTACGACAGTAATCCGAAGACAAAGATCAATTATTTTTAGTTGTCTTCTTCTTTTCCACGAAGAAGGAAAGAAAAAAGGCTTCGACCAATGTCGAAGTTCGGCGAGTGAATAGCGTAAACTAATTTGCATTCGAATACCAGTGAAATAATATTAATCCGATAATGTAAGTATATTATTTTTTATTTTAATTTGAATTAACTTTAACCAGAGAATTTGCCACATTTTGGTCTTAGTACAAAACTAAACACAATGTATACATACTTTTAATTTAACGGACAAAAAAATAAGACATCACTTATTATAAGTACAAATACACTTCAAATTAAATCATGGCTTGATTCATTTTATACTGAAAAATCTCACGATTCCATTTGTAAATAATTCAAAAAATATAAAAAATATAAAGATTTTATTCTTAAATTAGTTAATAGCTTACAATATCTTTTCTCCGATTGCTTTGATTTTCACATCTCCATCTGCTTTACTATCAGATGGTCCTTTTTTGAAATCGATAATATCTAGAATCTAATGAAATTATCATTCTCGGAGATAAGTGGATAATTTGTGATAAACGATTACATTAAAACATTTCATTTCTGCTGACAGCAATCTTTGTATTTATAATTGGAATGCAAACATTTCGTCAAGAAAATTTATTTTTTACGTGCATTTAAAAGTAGTAAATGTTATATACGCGATTGGGGAAGTAGTCCCACGAACGGTCTGCGCGACGCGACCACAAAGATCACCGGGGACACTTGAACGGTACCGAGCGAAAACCGCACGAGAATTCGATCGGCAATTGTTTTTATACCGCGTCTTCCCGCTCGGCCATGCGTTGGCGTCATTCTGCGTTTACCACACGTCTTATTCACTTCGTTGTTAAATAAAGTTATTTGTTACAAAAAGTGTTCATTGGTCTCCTCAGCCCAAATACAATAATAAATTTTTTTATTTCAAATGACCTATTCTACAAATAACTTCTGGCATACAACAGTATTTTTAATTGTAATCTAACAATTCATCAGCATCGCTGAAACCTATTCATGCGCCAACGTTTGCATCGCGGATAATGTACAGGATCTACCACGCAATTTAGCGTTTAATACGTTTAATAATAAGAAAACTTCGATATCATTTTTTGATTTGCGGCATATGAATCTATTAGACTTTTTATGCTCTTAACTAATAGTACAAAATCATAAAGAGTTTGAACTTGAATTTCAAGACAAGATCAATTTTACAGTCATTTTTATTTACAAATATTCATTGATTTAAAGATGCGAAATTATGTTCTGAACTTTGAGATACATGTAAAATGGTAAATTATAATTATAACTTTAATTTTCTTCTCAAACTTTTTAAATATTTGTAATGACAATATTTACTGATAGACATTTTGAAAATGTTATTATAAATGCTCAGTATAGTACAGGATATTGCGTGTACCTTTAATACGACCAATAACTTTTATACCTTAGCGTTTCCATCAAGGTAGTCAAATAGAGAAATTTTCATGCTATAGTCGCAGAGTAAACCAGAGGCGACACTCCCTGTCAGCACCTTTGATCTCCCGAAACCGCTATCCCTTTAAATTGGTTGTATAAACGAGTGGAAAATTTAAATCAAGCGAATCTAGTTTCATGTCAATCTCCAATAATTAGGAATGTGTTTATAATAAATTTTTTGTATATTACTAATATTGTCTTTTGAAGTATTTGCATCAATTTTACGTCGTTGAAAAGTTGAAAAAAAAAAGAATATACCAAATGATTACTCTACAAAATATATTTGAAGAATATGTATCTAGGAAATGATTATTACATAACTTATAAGAAAATGAAAAACTATATATCACAAAAAATTACAGATGAATGTGATGCAGAGATATGACATAATATCTATTACAAATAAATTACTGGTGAAAATGCAGGTTTAAACTATTCTTTTTCGACCGCCATACTTCTACACTATGCACATGCGCACCCCCGATTCTTTTGATTTGGGCATTTAAATTGGTTGTATCCTCTATCTCTTTCTAGGAGGTGGGTTTCCTTGTCTAGCGTTGTCTCTTGTTATATCTACTCTTTGTCTATACTCTATGCTTCTACACTATACACATGCGCACTCCTGATTCTTTTGATTTGAGCATTTAAATTAGCTATATCTATTGTCTCTCTCTAGGAGGTAGGTTGCCTTGTCTAGTGTCGCCGCTAGTTGTATCCCTACTCTTTAGTTGCCGAATGACCCCCTGTCTTGTTACCCGAAGAGTGGGGCCATGCTCTTCTTCGTCCGAGGCCGCACTATGAACATCGAAGGCAATTAGTTGACGTCCACAGAGCTGCCAACACTGGGGACGGTATTACCACTCCGGAATTATACCGGTGGCCCGCCAAGGCGGTTGAGGCCGTGGTAACCCCAGAAGAAACGCTGCACGCCTTTAGCCATGTCTGCGTGTGTGTGTGTGTGTGTGTGTGCGCGCGCGCGCGCGCGCGCGCGTGTGTGTGTGTGTGTGTGTGTACAACATAAAAGGTATAAAAACTTAATATGAATAATGGTACATATTAAATTGATATTTTCGAATTTTCACTAAGGGGTTTAAGCGGAACACTCATTCATATTTTAACGTGAATCATTCCTAAAACGCCATCTTTCGGATTACGATGGTGAATAATGTTTAATCGTGCTTGTGATCATGATTTTATAATCACTGCGATAAATCATTGTCAGCGATTTTGTATGCTATCTCTAATAGCTATAAGATATCATTGAAGGAAGTTATTGGTGTGCATAGGTACCAACTCACACTAAATCCCTAGAAATTCACGAATCGAAAAATCATTAGTCGTTGCATTGACTTTTTGAATTTTTATAAAAAAAATTCGATTTTTATCAGGACACCATAGGTTTATTCGACATTGTTATCTTGATTGATAATTAATCATTTGCTGAGTAAAACACTTGAAAAGTGTATGAAAGTTATTCGTCGAGTCAACGGGAAACAATGCGTGCGATCTGTTATTAAAAGTATGAATATATTTTCGGTTCGTACCGATCTATAAATTGTTTTCTTTATCCTATTCACTTGTATTCGTTTACATTCAGTTATTGTATATTAGGCAATGAATCAAAACATTCTTTTCGAAATATTATATTAAACTAATATTTGACTCCGTGGAACAAGGTATATCGATATTTAAATCTTTTAACTATTAATCATAAATATTCTTAATGAACATTAATATTTTCATATTTTTTATAGAAATTTATAGATAGTGATTTATTTTTCCTTGGAATATGTAAGATGTTACTGTTTAAAATGTGATATATTTTCAATTTATGACGTGTTAAGAAAAACGAACAGTTTAAATTAATAAGAGAATAGAAATTATACAAGAAACCATAACTTAATCAACAAATGTGAAACTGTTTAGAAATAATATACAAAAAAATATGAAAATATTTTTTTAATTGCACGTAATTAAACTTTCTATATTTTCTCTTTGGTGATATTAATAATAACTACATGATTACATAAATTTTTCATTTATGTATATATTTAACAATATAAGTTAATAAAGTTATGTAAAATTTGACATTTGTTTTTGTTAAATACATGTACTTGTCAAAATATTTTCTAAAATATTAAAATATACATAGTGCCCAAGTTTACTGTTTTACTGTATTTTTTATTTTTCAGAAATAATGTTGAGCAGTGTCACAAAACATATCTTACATTGTTGTCTACTGCTTATTGTCATAATTGTTTTTGAAATAATCATTGGTGGACTTGGGTGGCATGGCACTAAAAAAGAAACATTTGATCCATGGATTCAGTACGGATTTCTGGGTGCCCTTATTTTATATATATTACGGACACTTACATTTCTTTCGTTTCCTCAAGTATTATTTAATTTTGTGGGATTAACGATCTACAATGCATTCCCAGATAAAGTTACTTTAAAAGGCTCACCATTACTTGCACCATTCATTTGTATTAGAATAGTAACACGTGGAGATTACCCACAATTAGTGAAAGCAAATGTTAATAGAAATTTGAACAAATGCATTGAAACTGGTTTGGAAAATTTTCAAATTGAAGTAGTCAGTGATAAACCTATTGGATTATCTCCTCATCGAAGAATTAGGGAAGTTGTTGTACCAGAAAATTATCGTACAAGTAGTGGTGCTTTATTCAAAGCACGTGCTTTACAGTATTGCTTAGAAAGCTCAGTGAATGAGTTAGCAGATCATGATTGGATTGTACATCTTGATGAAGAGACTTTATTGACTGAAAATTCTGTTCGTGGAATATTGAATTTTGTATTAGATGGAAAACATCAGTTTGGACAAGGCTTAATAACATATGCAAATGAGGATGTTGTTAATTGGATTACTACCTTAGCAGATAGTTTTAGGGTAGCAGATGATATGGGAAAATTAAGATTGCAATTTACTATGTTTCATAAACCTTATTTTAGTATGAAAGGTTCCTATGTTGTCACTCAGGTAATTATTTATTGTCTTGCAATTTTATTTTTAATCATAATGGTAAATTATAAAAATACAATAAGTTATACAATAAGTTATAAAGATAAAATTTTGTTGTTGTAGATGGGTGCTGAAAAAGAAGTTTCATTTAATAATGGACTAGATGGGTCTGTTGCAGAGGATTGCTTTTTTGCAATGAAAGCATTTACTCAAGGGTACACTTTCAACTTTGTAGATGGTGAAATGTGGGAAAAATCACCATTTACATTGTGGGATTTTGTACAACAAAGAAAAAGGTGGTTACAAGGTATATTACTTGTCGTACATTCCAAAGCAATTCCATTAAACAAAAAGCTGCTTCTAGGCATATCTTGTTACTCATGGGTAACAATGCCTCTTTCTACATCTAATGTTGTATTAGCAGGACTTTTTCCTATTACTTGTCCACCACTTATAGACTTTCTGTGTGCTTTCATTGGTGCAGTAAATATTTACATGTACATTTTTGGAGTAGTTAAATCATTTTCTTTATATCGATTTGGTATTGCTCGATTTATATTATGTATATGTGGGGCATTATCAACAATTCCTTTCAATTTAATTATTGAAAATGTTGCTGTTATATGGGGTTTATTTGGAAAGAAACATAAATTTTATGTCGTTAATAAAGAGTACAATCCACCATCGATTGTATAAAGAAGTATTAAAAACTGTTTATAAATGGCAACATATGCTTACAAGAATGCTTGTATGCATTAATGCCAATAACTTTAACCAAATAGGGGTATTTTTAGTTGTATTTAAAATTGAGAGACTTGTGCATGCGTTTAAATTAGCTAGTTGTTTTTAGAGTATTCATAAAGCAGTATATATATATATATACATATATACTTATAGTGTTCAAATATTTACCATATTCAAATCATGCCATTAAATTATTTATTTAAACTAATAATTCAAACAATTAAAAAGGTTCAACAATTTTTCAGTCTTATGATTCTATTATTACGTTAGAACTTATATGAAATTCAGTAAAGTACTCAATATTTGCAATATTACCTCACACTTTATTTATTGATATATGAAAAAATTATTAAGTAAAAGGTAATATACTTTTGATTTAGTAAATCTAAAAATTAAAAATTATAATACTGTAAATAGAAATCTTATACTTGTATAATATATTAGGTGTCCATTAAGGTTGATGTAAAATATAAATAAATAAGTAAAGAAAATCAATTGCTTTACTCTGATACACTTACACTTTATTAATTTTGCATAAGCTAATACAATCCAATAAACGGTATTTTATTGAAATTTATTTTTTTAATTGTTTTAATTTAATTTCAAATATGTTAGCAGTGATATTAAAATTAAAAAATTGGAAAATTCAAAAGATATTATAAGTTTAATTGTAACAATTAAATCATTCATAATAAAAGTCTTCCTTTTTATATATTTCAGTTCCAATTTATTCTTTTGATTAAAAAAGGAAATACCAATTATCTTGATTAATGTTTATATATAATGTTTCAGAATTCTAATTAAGAGTAAAATATTATTTTGCATGTAAAGTAACTCATCTTTATCATTTTTCAAAATACATCAAATAGTCTTACATGTTTTATATTAATGTTGTTTACATTAGTTCTGTCACTTGTTTTATAATAAATTTTCAAATTTAGATTTTCTGGACACCTAATAATAAAAATAATATTTATATCAATAGTATAATAATAATTATAACAATACTGACAATGAGAGTAACATGATTGTTATCTGTGGATACTGATATTTTTAATATAACAGAATAAATTGGTTTTTTAAGTATGTTAAAAAGGTATATAATAAAAATTTGCTTGTGTTTTTCATGAATAAAGTTAATTTAATTGGTATTTATTAGGCAAGGTGTAAAATTAATGGTTTTGCAGATTAGTATTTCTAAGGCTATAGAAAAGAAAAATAATATTATTACATTTTACTTGTGATGAATAGCTTTTATAATGTTTTTTTCTGACACAAATCTGATACACATCATGAAATGTTAGTTAAAATACTACAAAATATAGTTTCAAATGTTAACAAACAGTAACTTACTCTATTAAAATTAGTTACACATTGTTATTAATATATAGAAAAATTATTCAAATAAAATTGTTCATTGCAATATCAATTTTTAGACATTACTGATTTTATTTAGATATTTTTTTAATCTAACCTTTATTCAGTACTATATAACACATAATTAAACTATTTTGTAAAAAGTAAAACACAGCAATGATAAGTTTCCCATTTTATAGTAGAATTATTTATTTAGTACATTTATCTTTGTACCATATATGTACTAAATGCATTGTAAAAATTACTGTGATATAATTCTATTGTAATCATGCAATAACCAACTCATTTCATAATATCATTCAAATTCCATTTTATAATATTGTAGTTTAAGAATATAAAAAAGTATTTCATACAATACACAATTAATTGCTGTAACAGCAATTATTTAATTTTGGTATATGATAATATTAATAAAAAATTATATGTAAACTTTTAGTATTCAAAGAACAAATTGTTTTCTGTCACAAAATGAGAGAGTACATATAAGTTTTATTTTAAATAATTACCAAGAATTATACGTTCTATAAACAAAAATATGTTATATATATTGGTATATACAATCAAAAACAAATTATGAAATGTAATGTTTTTGGTAAAAAATTACAAAAATATTTATACAAATTTTATCAAATTAATATGTAAAAAAATAAATGACAATTTAAATCAAATATTTAACCAGTTTAAATCAGTGTGTTAAATATATGCAGTAATGAATTTATATACTTACTACAATTTAATATATAAAAATACATATATGGCATGTTATAAGAAGATTGTACAATTAAGAAACTGCAGTTTCTTCCTACCAAAATCAGAGTTTCATTAACTCTAGATAATCTTCAGTTGTTTTAAATTGAAGCAGCAGATTGTAAAATAGTAGAGAACTTCAATTTGTTATGATATCAAAAATTTGCAGATTTTAAATTGTGCAACTTTTTTAAAACTCCCTATACTTAAGGAATAAGTAATGTATTTTGAACCAGACTTATTCTGTCTAGTCAGAACATAAAAATGTATTTCGATTAATTCTTACAATATAAATACAATTATGATATAATATTGTTTCCAAAACACTCTATATATATATATATATGTGTGTGTATTCTTAAACTTTTATTTTTTCTATTGTTATTATACAAGTTAAGATAAACTAAGATTTCACCATGTTTAAATTGAACAATTTATGTATTAACTCACAACTAAAGCAAGTGTAATTATTATCCTATTTATATAAATGAATATATTTACAAAGTGTTACTAAGAAGAGTTTAAGATTCACCAAACTAAGGTATAATTAAAAAAAGTGTTCATTAGAAAAAGTAAAAAATGTTTAATTAATCTGGATGGTAAAATTAACTTTATTAATGTAGAATGTGATTTTTAGTTTAGGTATATGTATTTTGTGAATAAAAAACATAGGAATATAAACAAAGGAAGCAATCTACAAAATCTTCTATAACAATAAAATATTATAAACTTTTAGCAATTAGATATATACAGAATGAAAGAATTGGAAATTGTATATGTATCGACTTTATATTGTAAGAAATGCATTTATGTTCATTAGACATTTTTTACTTTTTGAAATGTATAATATACATTCCTTAAATCTTAAATTGTTGCTTTATAACACTGTGTACATGTACTTAAGTTGTTAAAATATTTTAAGTGGTGAGTGCAGCATCAAAACTAATAGTACTTATATTTCTCTTGATGTATCAATACCATTTTAAGTAAATTATATTTTTAAATATGATATTTTTATACATATAACTTATGTGTATTATTACTTACATAAGATGCATATGTAAATTTAAAATTTTTAATATTTCGAAATATACGAGTCTCTTATAATCGTTATTGTCTCTAATTATGATAATTCTACCATGATAATAAGCGTATTATTAGTGGTACATATACAGATAATCATCTAAACATAAGAAACCAACTTTAATGTCAGATGATTGTTAAGCTAGTACACAATACTGTGTTTTAACTGTATTTTACTGTAATAAATAAACAATGAAAATGCTATAGCGTTATACATGAATTGTAATGTTCCATTTTCTGTTTAATATATATAAATAAATATGTGTGAAATACAATGTTCGTTTTTAAAAAAATTGCAAGAAATAATAGGTTAAATTAGACCAGTCATATTATATTGTATATTTTGCTAATATATTTCAGTATTTTTAACAAAAATGATAAACCTTATCTTTGGAATATTAAATCAAGAATAGAATAAAGGACTGTAAAAACCTTTTAATATATAAAAAATTATACTACATATGTTTACTTTGAATTATTGTTATCTATCTTTTAATGTACAAATATGACAGTACCATGAAATCGTATTTAAACATGGCGTTCTGTGTCAGCTGTTTTGTAACAAACAGCTGTGTTTGACAGTAAAAGATACTAAACACACAGTATAAATGCAAATTTATTTATTTGTACATATTTTAAGTTAAATGCGGTATGAACATAGTAAATAGAGAAAAATGTATTAAATTATATGTTTCTTGTGAAAATGTATTCGAACTTTTCATTATAGATATAAATAAATTATAAACAAAAATGGATACAATAAAGAAAGATCTGCTTGTGCCAACAAAATATATAAAAGTAATAGATGGCAGAATTTGCTTAACTGTTCATAGAAATTGGCTTACTAATTTACAAACTGTTGGTCCGATTTCTTTTCTTAATCATGAACGATTGAGTGATGATGAAATTGCAGCTCAGCCTATGCTGGATGAATTAGGCCCAGACTGGATGCGAATATATGTTAGAGTACGTTAGTTTTCATTTATTAGATTAATGTATTAATTATAACTATATATTGTGCATAACATATTACTTTAAGTAGTATTGCAATACTTTTAAAATCATGTAATTTTAGGTGTACGAGAAACAACATAAGTATGCTGTTCCACTTCCAAGGGGAAGGCATACAAGCGGAAATACTCAAGCAGATTTAACATTTTCACAATTGATGCATTATGTGGCAGAGACTAACTATAGAAATTTATGGAAGGAGTGTTATAAAAAATATTATAGTAAATATTTTAAATGATTTTGAATATATTATATTTTTTCTTAAATTATAATAAATTTATGTGTATATATATGTATGTATGTATATATTTATATATGTTAAGTCATGCCTTTAGGAATATATATAACTTTGATTATTTATATATATAGGTCCATGGAATTGTATAGAACAGAGAGATCAATGCAACATAACTGCTAATGTAAGCGATACATCAATTATGCAAGAAGTACTACAAAAAATGTATGGTTGCATTTTAATTCAAATTCAAAATGGGTTAGTTGTATCTGTATCACCTGGTATATCCAATGAAGTACATTGTAACCTTCTACCAATATTATGTGCTGTTGAAACTACATCTGCATTCTTAACTTTACACGAGCAAACAGCAGAATACTCTGTTCGCGAGTATGTATAAATTGTATTCAGTAATAATGACTTACTTATACCTATATTTATTATTAATTTACTACTATTATTCAAGGTGTGTTATGTACAGTCCTGCTGCTTTAAGCATGAGTCATGGAAAACCATTATTTCTAATATATCAACTATTACAGTTGTCTAGAGATTTGCATGATCGTGGCTTAGTATTAGGGGAAATTACTCTTAGCGATATATTACTTATGGATAATTTTACTATTCAGGTTAATATTTAAATGTACTTCTGTAAATGTTTGTCACTAATTCAGTTTTCCATTGAAATCATAACTACTTCTCCAGATTTTATTGCTAGGTACTACCAAAGTTAAGTGATAATATATATTTAAAACCTGAACATGAAATACCTAAAATTTCCACTGCTCAAGAAACAAAAGGAAAAGGTTTCAATGGTCATATCAGAAATTTTGATATGACTTCATCGATTGCTATATTACGAGGAAACCCTGAATTTGGGATGAATGAAAATATTGAGAAATTATGTGAAATGTGGGTGTATAGTTGTATCAGTAATTATGACTATTTAACTGCATTAAATAATATGGCTGGAAGAAGATACGGAGATCCGAGTTGTCATCATGTGATGCCTTGGGTCACAGATTTTACATCAAGATGTGGTGGTAACTGGAGAGATTTAACAAAGTCTAAATTTCGATTAAATAAAGGCGATAGACAATTAGACTTAACATTTGATTCGCAGTCTACAGAAGTATGTACCTGAAAACATTCATAACAGTTTTAATTGATTATAATTATTGCTGAACATATCAAAATGTTTAGGTAGGACATCATGTATCTGATGTACTATCAGAAATTACGTATTATGTTTATCTCTCGCGCCGATACGACAAGTCAGTTCTTTGTAAATACGTTCGACCTCAATGGGTCCCAGGAGAATACCCTGCTTCTATACAACGATTACACGATTGGAGTCCAGACGAATGTATACCACAATTTTTTACTGATCCCAGTGTTTTTAAAGTAAGTGCTTTATATAAAATATAATCATTTATAATTGACGTGTAATTATGTTATAATTATGTTATGTTATGTTAATTCTTTATAGTCTATACATGAAGATTTACCAGACTTAGAAATTCCTGGATGGGCTACGTCTCCAGAGGATTTTATTGAAAGGCACAGAGAAGCTTTGGAAAGTTTTCATGTATCCGAAAGATTACATCATTGGATAGATTTAACATTTGGTTATAAGTATATAGCAATTCTTGTTGAAGTGTATAATAATACTCGTGTAGCTATTATTATATTCTTTTTTCTTATTTTGTAGATTATCAGGTTCAGCAGCAATAAAGTCAAAAAACGTTTGCCTACAGCTTGTTGACAATCATACCAGATTAACTAACGCTGGTGTTGTTCAACTTTTTACACAACCACATCCACAAAAAATTATTCCTTCACCTTATTGGTGTAAAATTCCACCTCGTTTACGTTCATCTTTCATTATTAATAAGTATAGTATGTTTAGTATGTTTGTCGATTATTTTAAGATAATGTAGTTTCAATTTATTATTGATCAGTACGTATTATTACAGAAAATGATCAATCTGGAAACAGAACTAGTGATGATGAAGGTCACAGTTCAGGTTTTGAAGAGGAAGAATTACCAACATCAACTCTAAGTACATCAAGATCATCACCTTTAGTTTTAAGTCGATTATTAAGTCGCTCCCGAGGTTCTTTACTTTCTACTGAGGATACTGTTAAACAAGATAAATCTATGAATCAAACAATAATTCTGCCAAAAGATTATAATCCTGTTACAGCAATAATGCAAGTAGAAACTATACATGTATTTATGAATAAAGTGAGCTCTCAGGTTTATAAACCAGAGATTGAAGTACACGAGTTATCTACAAATTATAAACAAATTGTGGCCAGTGGACGCATTAAAGAACAACAAATTCTTGGTTGTTTAATTGTGGAAATATTTTTGTCAAACAAGTTTCGAGCAACATGGAACATTGAAAAGATGTCATTTCCAAAAAGACTTACTACCTGCATAAACACCTTAAAAATGTCTGCTGATGGTTTACCAAAATGTGTTAGAAATGCTGTTGCTTTATTACTTCAAGTTGATATTATACCAAGTAGTTATAACATTGATAATATAGAAGTAAGTATCATTTTGAATAATAAACATAAAAAGTAAGATATATTAATGTCTTAAATATTAATGTCTTGTCAGGTAACTGATACACCATTTCGTTATCCTACTGTTACATACATGGGTCTACCTCCACCATCTGCCCATCAATTTCTCCAACCGATACTTTCTGGAAGTTTATTTCCATTTTCTAAGTATTATAAACATTTGTTTAATATTGTGGAAATGTTACAAGAATATAATAGTTTAGTACGTGAATTAAATTTCATAATGAAGGCTGAAGATGACATGGATTTTATACTTAAAACAAAAACAAAGTTCCTTTGTAAAATCAGTGAATGTAAAGTTAAGGCAATCGCAAGTGAATTGGAGCATCTATTATCCCATACTGGAATTGCAAGGGAAGCTTGTTTAGAGCTAATAGTACCGCATATACAACAAATAATGGAAGAACCTTATAGTGCTGTTTTAGCTGCTTGGTATTTGTTTGATCCAATTGCTAAGTACGTAATAGTTTATACATAACTATAATTTCATATCATATTTAAAATTAAAGATAAGAATTAATATATTTGTAATTTTTTAGGGCATTGGGTCCTAAAGATACTGCACAAACATTCCTACTGCCTATTATGAAATTATATGAAAATGGTTTCTTTATGGATACTTCTTCGTATGCTGATATATTTCCACCGGGATTGTTAGCAAAATTTAAAACTACTCGTTTATATCATAGAAATTTTCTGTTAAAACTTATGGTAAGGTTAGGTTTACGACGGTTTCTAGAAAATTTTATTACGCCTCTTGTGGAAGCAGTTGGAGGATATAGAGATTACATACAAGGATGTTTAACATATATCCACAAAACTGGCAATCTTAAGTAAGAAAATTTTATAGAAAAGTATTTATGATATTGTTTAAACGAAATAATAATTTGTAAAAAAGATTCAAAGAATTCAATTGATAATTAATTATTTTAATAATAATTTTATTATTTTAAAGAACATGTGATTTAAGCGGAACTTGTAATGAAGGAGAAGGAATCTTATCTCCTCTGGATGAAGATTTCTCTGTAGATTCAGAACAAAATATGCCTTTATCACCTGGACCTGTAAGCAATGATTATGCGCGTGATACAAGCACAAATGACAATGATGTTGAAGGTGAATGAAATCAATTATTTTTATTAACTATTATGGAGAAAAGTTTATTAAAATCATCTCAAGAAGTTTCGTCTATTACAGAAGTATTTACAATGGAAACGGATGAAAATTCTTGGGTATCTTTAAATTCTGGTGCATCATATGATATTGATTTACACGTTGATCTAAATTTGAATCTCAATGATGACTTAAATGAGGAAGGAAATAGAATCTCACCTGTTAAATCAATGAAATCACCGACAATTCCAATACCAAAAGCCTCCAGTTCTTCAAATAAATTCAATAATATTAGTTGCAATGTAGGAAGTAGAACTTCTAATGATGAATTTGCTTATAGTGGACTTACTCATTCTGATAACACTTCTGATGAAGTCCCTGCTGTAGGATTAGAGGAACAAAATCCTGTAATAATTCAAACAGATGATATTAAATCTAATACCGTAATCCATGAAGACATTCAAATAGATAATATTTACCAAAAATCTACTTCAAATGAATGTACAACTTCTGAAATGAGTGCAGAATCTATTACTTGGTTATCTCATCGGCTTGGTCCTGTACTTACTGCACGATATTTATCTCGAAATTTATTAAGAATGCTTACATTATGTTATACCGGGAAAGAAAATTTAACAATTATCGGCGATACTTTGTTATCTATGGAAGGCATTACTTGGAATAAAAAGGTTTTAGTTGGTGATCATAATGCTGCTAAAGTTTTGGAATGCCTTGCAGCTATTGCAGGTTCATTTATTTGTAGTAAAGAGATATTTATTTTAATAATAAGTATATATCTTTAAAACTGAATGGGAATTAAATATTTGTACAGGTTTATATGGAGAACAGATTATAGTATTACAGTACTTTGCACATATGGTTGAACTTTTAGCTCTTTGTAAAAGAAAATTAACACAGAATTTGGAAGGGGGGCTTATTTCATGTTTAACTCTTTTAAATCACATTACACCATATCTCAGTGATGCTGTATTGATGGATGTACTGCACGTAAGATTATATTATATGAATTTTTTAATGTTACAATGTAACTATTTCGTTAAAAATTTATTTTTAATTGTAGGAATCAATTGTAAAAGCAATACTATATCCTACAGTTCGCATATTATCATCTACAAGATTTACTTTTCCAAATGGTGTCATCGCACGTAATGTAATGGCAGAGAAATGTTTGGAAACTTTATTCATGTTTAGTTTACGATTAGGAAGTATCATGACAAGAAATCATCTGGCTGTACCTATTCAACGATTTTTCTTAGCATTTGATAAATCATTCAATCAAAGTATTGCAGAAAGTTATAAAAATGAAATTAGTCAAAAGACAATAAGCGAGCATTTTACAAGGTATTTTTGTGACAGTATTACACATCAAAATTATGTTATAAAAGTATCTATAAATATATATTTATGTAGGATAAAGGTTTCAAATGAAGAGAATAGAGACGCTCTTGCAGTTCAGTCAAATTTTAATGCAGACGTTGCCGATTCTTATTCTCCACCAGCTACAGAAAATATGGATATATCAGATCTTCAAAAAAATAAAGTAAGTAAAAAGGATATAATACATACAAAAATCTTAGTAAATGCACTAATTTTAACTTCAATGTATTTTTAGGCACTTGAAGAATTAAGAGCTGTATTTACAGCAGAATTTGCTCATAAAACATACATGCTTTTCTATAAATGTATTGACAGTGAAATAATGGAACAGATACTTAAAAATCATGAGCACATACATAATTTATGTCGTAAATATGAACAGGAAGCAAAAATCACTTGCTCTAATACTGGTATGTTATACGTTTCTTTTTATCAAATTCATAATGTCAACTTAATTTACCATTTTGTTTACTCATTTTAAAGATGATAACAAGTTTAGTGCTTCGTGTAATAGTAACTACAATATGATGGAAAGTACAGAATCAGTAAATAAAGATGCTTTAAATTTTGGAAATATATCAGTAGTGGGAAACAGATTTGCAGTACAAAAGAATAATATTGGAGATCACATAGCATCTGAAAGTTCACATCAAGAAGCAAATTATTCCTCATCCACCGGAAGACAGTTACGAGGAAATTGGTTAGCATACTGGGAACACGAAATTGGAAGATCAGAGAAAGATACAGCATTTAATATAAAGCAAATAAAACTACAAACTTTTAGCGGCCATACTAACAGTATCAAATGCCTATCTGTATTGGATAATGAGAATAGTTTTATGAGCGGCGGTAGAGATAAAACTGTGAAATTGTGGAGTTTGAGAAGTCAGGTAATATAATAAATTGGGATAAAGAAATTTTTTATGACAAAAAAGAAATATATGTAGCAATAATTAGACTTTCTATTTTTTTACATATTTTGTCAATAGGGAGATGGAAATACTGTTTCATCTTGTCAATATACTTATACTGGGCACAAAAAATCTATTCTGGCTCTAACATTTCTAGAATCTTTAAGATACGTAGTTACTTGTGATAGTACAATTCATTGTTGGGATCCTTTCATGGGTTCTCTTCTTGGATGTCCAGAAAGTTCTCGTCCTGTTCCTGTAAATACACTTATTGCAAGTCCTTCACCATGTACAACTTTACTTGCTGGAACAACTGATATTACACTCAGAGTTATCGATTGTCGAAGTTTTCAGTATGTAAATGAAATGAAGGTATTTGTTAACTGTATCCTAAGATTATTCGCAATATATTAAATATTAATTAAAGAATAATTTCTCCCTTTCCAGGTTTCCGTAAATCCAACAGGTTTAATTAGATGCATCGCAGTAGCGCCTAGTGGTTATTGGGTTGCATTAGGACAAGCATCAGGTTTTTTAACAATTTTAGATATTCGTACTGGTCTTATAATTGCCTCTTGGAAAGGTCACGAATGTGAGGTATGTTATAATATCATAAAGCATTTAATTCTTTAAAGTTCAGAAAGTTTTTTTAATAGTAACTCTTTTAGATATTACAATTAGAAGCAATTAATGAAACAACTATAATTAGTTCTTCTTTGGATGAAACTATTGCTGTATGGAGTGCACTGGATGGAAAACTTAAATTTCATATGAAGTAAGATAAAATACAATTTTGTATTAATCAGTGTTTTGGATATATTTTTTTATTTCTTGCTTTAACTTGCTTATTTTATGATGTACATATTTTAAGCTTCAAATTTCCAGGGGCTCTACCGAACCAGTGCATTGTATGTCTACTTACGAACAAGAACTAATAATAGGAACAACGGCAAATCGAGTAGGAGTTTACTCATCCATTGAAACAACAGCTGTATTTTCGTCATCAAAACTGAAATCTGATACTTTTAAAGGACTTCTTACTACAATGGCAGTTCTTCCTCTCAATCGATTATTATTATTAGGCGCAGATAATGGAGGTATAACATTAATTTGTTAAATATTGTACATAAAAAAAATCTCTAAGTATATGAATAAATTTAAATATAATTTAAGAATGTAATAAGTATAATTTTACTTATAAATATACAATTCATCTATCTTTTATCAATTATTATACAAAAAGGATATCTGTAAGATTGTATAACAAATTCTTTTTTCATTTAAATATAAAAAAAAATATTTTACACATTAGTAATATCTGTTCTTGTTCCAATTATTTGTAATGCCAATTCAGGCGTCATTTTATAAACACCAATTTCTGCTAATACTTCTTTTCCTGCAACTTCATCATGAAGCGCTTCGCGTAATAAGATTGCTGAACCTAACATGATATTTAATAAAATGCAAGCCTCTTTAATCCTGAAACGTAATTGTCACTAATATATCTCATTTTAAAATTACTTTTGAGACATACGCTACTATTATTAATAACTTACAGTGGAAAATATGATTCTGGCTCACTGATATATAAACCAAACAATGGAAACAAATTTCTAAAAACATCATGCTGTAATTGCTCAGCTCCACCTACATTAAAATGATTTACCAAAACTACTTCTTCTAAAAGAAACTGTAATAAATAATATTTGTAATAAGTATTTAGTACATAGAATTCATTACTTTTAAAATTAATATCTTACTTGATCGAATTGTGAAGCCAAATTCTTCCAAGCTTGATGAAATAGGGGTAAAGCAAGCGTAGTATGTAATAGATTAAGTTGTGTTGCTAATTCTTGAAACATAGAGTAACCGCTTGGAGTAACTGATAAAGAAATTACTTCTTTAGTAGATTGCATTGCAAACCACCTATTAAATAGATTTTATTTTAGATAAAAAATATTGTGATAAGTAATTTATTTTATATGAGTATCAATTCATGTATTTAAATTTCATACTTACTTATCTGTTCTATATGGTCTACTTTTTGCTTTTACATCCAAAGCTACAGAGTCAGTAATTTCGTTAATCCATTCTTCTTCTGATCTTCTTAATAGAGCTACAGCTTCATCAAATACTGTGCCCTCAACTTCCCCTATATTTTTAGTAATGTCATTTCCTTCTAATGTCGCTATTTCAACTGCTTCAAATTGTTTTTTGAAAAAATACAATTGCAAGAAATGCTATAACATTAATAAATAATATCAGAATAATATACTTGAGCATTTAATTACTTTTAAAACACTTACTACTGTCACACCCCACTCTTCTAGGACAGTTGCAACATAATGTAATGTATTAAGAATGCATGGTATAAGAGATGTTAAGAATACATGGTATGAGAGGTGTTCATAATTTTCGCACAACAATTGAAGTAACCTTATTCTCCAATCATCAATTAGTTCTAATTGGAGTTCAAGAAACTGTAACCTTTATAAATTTTATTTTTCTATAATATTGTTTTCAATCATTTATTATACATGAAATTATGTCAACCAAATTACACTTACTTAAAAAAATGTTTATTTCTAAACTAGGGATCATTTATATAACTGAATTGACTTAGAAACAAAAAAGATGACTATAATTAATAAAATAAAGTATTGTATATAGTGTTTACCTATGACCTGGTTGAGGTAAATGCTTATATCTATCAGAGATTGTAGTAAGAAGAGTGAGAAAAGCATCTGCACATTCAGTGACTTTCATGTCATCACAATCAGAAGTTATTAATTTCTCCCAAGCTGTATGTGAACTTAAAATAACATCCATCTTTTCAGTAGCATCTAATGTTTTAAAATATTCATGTTAACTATTATCATTATACATGAACTTATAATGTACACTCTTACATTTTTTTTCCATATTAATCCATTTCACAAAAATATGAGCTTGAGTAAGAACAAATACAGTGGCTGGTTGAGCTGAAGGATAAAATAAAGTTTCCCTTAATTCTCTTTCAAAACTTAGAGCTTCATCAACCAAATGAGCAAATAATATATCATCATATTGCACTAATGACAATTCGGAATGAAGTTTTTCAACTGCCAGTTGCACTAAAGCACGCATAAATTCTACCTATTAAAAAAAATGATATCAGTATCTTTTTAAGCGTAAAAATTAAATGTATTAAATGCATTAATACCTTCATATCTACATAATTAAAACCTATTGAATTTGCAGTTGGTTGTATATTCTTTTGTATCCACTGAACATGATCTTTGATCCATGTTAATACCTGAGTAAAAAACCACTCTGGTTTATCTTGTCGATTTGTTAGTTTTGTACCTGTGAAGTGATATATGAATCTTTGTCTAAGAGGTCGCACCATCAGTGAAATTGGTAAACTCACAGGCTTAAAGTCTGTTAATAATACAGATGTTACCACTGATTTTACAGATTCTTCTCTAGACATTGTGTTAAAGGTAGTTTCTTTCTAATAAAACTGAAGTTAAAGAACCAAAAGAAAATATATCAGATTAATTGGAAGGATACGGTAACTGTAAATGTAATAAATATTTCGTAAGTGTCTTAAATTTGTTTAATATTTCTGGCATGGATGTATTTAACGAATTTGTATTATTGCCGCAGAAGGGCCACTTCAATGCTTTTAATGTGTCATTGTATTCTCTGAAAATTGTTAGATATAAGTATATCATATCACACTGAATTTAAATAAATATATTAGGTGGAGATATACTTGGATAATTTGTCTTTTATGAGATTATGCCAGTAGTGTAAAGTTTCATTGATATAATTTTGAAGATAATGACAAGCTGACAACCTCAATTGGCAGCTAATACTTGTAAGATTTGTGTACAATGAAATGACTGATTCATCATTTCCAATTGTTAAACACAATTGTATTTCATCACTGAAAAGGTATTCTTTTATGTTTGTCAGAAATTATTAAATATGCTTTACTAAATAGTAAATTACCTAATATCTTCAACATATTTTATAAAATTTAAGTAAGATAAACATTTTTCTAAATAACTTATGGAATTGATAATTTCTTGTACTTTTAAACTTCTCTCATTTTCATGTATTGTTTCTTGTACATTTGATCTGAACTCTATAGAAGTTTGTTCCAATCTTTGGAATTCAGTATTAATCTTCTCAACACTTTCTATTACAGCTTTTACTTTTGAAGGAGCTTCAGTTGAAGCCATTGATAACTGAAAATTAAGTTTTGATATAAGTATGTAATGTATTTATTAAATATTAAATTAATTTTTATAATTTTTATAAACAGATACCGATTTTTCAATTTCATTCTTCTGTGCAATAAGACGTTGATGAAATTCATATATTTTATTTTGTCTTTCTAAATCAGAACCTAATTCTGCATTGAATTTCTCTAAAATCTTTTGCTTTGTGTCTGTCATATTGTTATTATATTAGAAATATTCTCAAATGTAATTGCATCTAAACTGTAATAATTTGAGGTTATGAAATGGTATTTGTGACATATATCAATGATCTATACAGTAAGTAACAAGTAAGGGGAAAATTTTCTGACAACATGAACCCCGCGAAATTCAAATGAAATACTATTATAGGTCTAAATTTCTGTGATGTTACATTACTAGGAATATAAAATAGATTAAATAAGGAAAAAATGGTAAAAAGTAGCACATGTTCGTATAATGTTAAAGAATAAATATGATGAATATAATTACTGCTAAACTATAATATAAAATGCAATATCTACGTAAAAAAGTCGTGAAATATAATAATATTAACGAACAACAATTTAACAGTCAAATCAATTAATAAATAAAATTTATATGTATATCATGTAAATATTACAAAACAAAAGTATTTGTTTTATACATAAGATTTGTATGTACGTCATATATCAATATTTATTCCTATGGTTTCATACATGGTATATTCTTTAAATCTTATAACTAATTTGGTGCATGATTATTAAATTATGTGTACTAATTGTAAGTAAAAATAAGCACATTTTTCTTCTTAACTAAAAAACGGAAAGAAACACTTATAAAAATACGAAGAAGAAAAGAATATATAGTGCGCGTAAAAATATTTCATTTTGCAACTAATTTGGATAGAAATTAATTTCCAGTGGAATTATTAAACTAATTTATCATCGCGTATATTTGATACTTCATTATTTACGATCAATATCAACTGTTAGATGATATTCATGAAACAAAAGTAACGTTTGGAGTATTCCGATTTTTCAATTGGATTAAAAAATATTTGTTAATATCAGAATTTTATTGAAAAACGAGAAAGATATCTTCTGGTAATGAACTTTTACAATAGTAATAGATGTACATATAATTTTGCACAATTATTAGATTAAACAATTTCCTTTGTTTTCCATTTATTTGTTATTACACAATTGCTTCTTGTTTACTATTATAATTAATTTTTCATCACTTCGTTGTTCAGAAAGGATAATTTCTAGAATGTTCAAATTCGAACAATTTAAAATCTTACACCGAAAAATTGAACGATCAAAGTATAAATTTATTTGCGGATAATAATTTAATAAGGCACTTTGTGTTATGTTGCTTTTAAGCAGAAATATAAATGGTACTCTGCACGAATTAATCGACTTGGCAAACGCATGTTAATTTTGTAAATCGTAAATGTCTATTTAATTATTCAAAGGCACACTGTAAATTATTGTGTCACAAGTATTATAATTGTATCTTCTTACACAATATTATCAATTAGCAATCTATCGCAGAATGAATCTGTTCATTCTCTCAGTCGAATAATAAGCGAGAATCAGGTCTTTATGTTAACAAATACTATCAACAATACTGGTTAAATAAACATAAATTATCACTAAAATTAATTTAAAATAAACATCTTATGTACATATATGCTTATTAATTAAATTTTATATGTTCTTGCTTTTCTTCTGGAATACTTAATTTTCAATCTCTTTATCAAATTATCTTTGTTCGATTTTGTAAAACTATAAAAGCTCAAGGAAGTTAACATGGTCAATGTCGTAGTGAAATTGGACGGATGTAATCGGACGTATTAAGATTATCTTTTCACGGCTTGTTTTCAGTTTTTAAATTAAAATTTTCAAATTTTAAGATTTTCATATCTCGAAATTTTCAAACCTATAAAATCTTTAAATCTTATTTTACAAATTTTTAAATAGTAATTTTCAAATTTCCAAATTCTCAAATTTCTTTCCACTTTTTTCTTTTACTGTTATCTAATTAAATTATATATATAGACAACTACCGCGTTATTCAACATGTTAAAAACAAAAAGAGGGATCATTCAATCAATCAATTTTAAAGAGTATCCAAAAGAGAATCTAGGAGATCTAACTGATTCTCGTCCCAACCCGCGGTAGCGATTAATAAACCGGTTAAATCGTCTTCGCTTAAACTAACTTGCGTCGATTCTGGTATTTCTGACAGACAGTCTGGAATCGGAGGAGACACGCTACTCGGCGGTGTTTCGTATAAAGTTGATAAACTGTTGATCGATGATGCACCATTGTTTTGTGCACTATTTGTTACCGTTGTTTTCGCCAGAGTTAAATTTTTCGTTCCACGAACTCGTTGCGACATCGTTGCACGACGTTTTGATTTCCTGCCCTCTTCCATTCTCTCCAAATCCAACTTCCAGAAACCACCTTTGCCCGGTTCATCCTTTGATCGTGGTAATTTCACGAAACACTTATTTAACGACAAATTGTGGCGAATTGAATTCTGTTTAACATAAAATATCATTTGACATTGAGATAGTATTTTTTAGTGGTTCCTGAAATAGGCTACCTGAACAATTTGATGATACTTTTGATCGATTTTACTTCTGAATTATTCAGGCGGCATTTTTCAGAAGCCACGTACAGAAATCAGTGAAGATCATAGTGATATAGCACAGAATGTGGTTATAATCTGGCAAAAATAAAATTTTTCAGCAGAATTATTTTTAATATGTTCTTGTATGAACCTACATTTCATCGTTCTAAACGATATGTCCGAAATTTGCACGGTGTGATTTGCGCTGAAATATTATCATTCGCGAATATCTCGTCATATACTAATTCTATGATAAAAATACTTATTATAAGATTTATAGCTTAGAGAATTTTCTTTAGAAAAGGATCTTATCTATCATACCTTCTGATGGAAGTAAGTTATCATATACGAAAACAATTGTTTCAATGAAAGATACTGATAAGGCCATTTTTGTAGGTAGTTTTCTGAATTATAAATTCTATAATAACTATTTTTATCGTGCAATTAATAGGTACTGAAATATTCGTGAACAATTGCTTTTCTATTGACTTTCGTTAGCAAAGCTGGTGTTCACAACTTCTGATGCATCAAAACGATGAAGTAGGGATTAATATAGAAATATAGACGGCTGTGAATTATTTTGAAGACTGAACATATTTCTAATCGATTTCCCTGGTCTACAATGGTGACACATCACTACAATTTTCATTGTGTCATAAAACGAAGAAAGAATATTAATACCTGCCAAGCTGGATCAGCGTATTTGTAAAATAAAAAATTCTCTCGAATCCACGCATATATGTTCGAAAGGGACACTTTATTGTTATTTGCACGCATCGCCAGACATATAATTGTAGCGTAGGAGAATGGTGGTTTTGCATCAGGGTCGGTTCGATACTTTTCAGCGTTTGCAGCAAGATCTGTACAAGAAAAATTACAGAAAATGTTAAAAAGAAATTTGAAAAATTAAAAAATTTGCAAATTTTGTAATTATCAAATTCCCAAACTTTCAAATTTTTTACTTTTCAAAATTCTAAATATCCAAATCTTAAAAATTCTAAATTTCCAAGATATTACATTTTCCAATTTCCAAATTCTCAAATTTGTAGTCTCAAAATTTCAAATTGCCAACTATTCACCCTCCAAATTCTCAAAATCACAATTTACCCCATATTAGCAATACAATACTGCCAGTAAATATTCAAAATAATAAAATATTGATAATATTGATTCTGCAAGGTCTCTATATCAAGTTTGCTACCAGTACTTATTTATAAATTTGTCCATTACGAATTATACATTCTTTGCCACAAAATAACACGTAATAGACTAATATAATTTTAGAGTATCATCAATTGGTCAATGTTACGTTATATTTAAGATTATACGTCAGATGTTGATTTCTGTCCTCTTTAAAGCGTATTAAAACAATTATAATTTTATATAGGAATTTGAAGGCGTTACACACATGTGACGTTAAAATGAACGTATAGCATCATGCAATTAATAAATAAATGAAGTTTATTTACCTAATTCAGCTTTGATCAAGGGTGAAAGCTTCTTTTTCGGTTGTCGCGTAACAGGCGGCGGAGATGGAGAACAGGGTGGTGTTGGCAAGCTCGAGGCACTTGTAATGTCAAGCGATTGTAACCACGTAAGACTCGTTAATTCCGCTTCTACACCGTAATCCTCACTGTGCATATTCTCTTTGCTATCTGACGAATCGCAATCAATCGGTGTCTCAGCGTCGATCGTTTCTGCTTTCATTTTCACCATCTTTCATCGCATAAATATCGACCGCATGCCAAGAACCTGCATAGAAATATCGAAAACGCAAATACATGTATCCCGATATTACATGAAATTACATAATTTCATTTGCTCGATCATTGTACCTTTCGATCTACAACAGGACAACTTACAATTTGCTCTGAATTGAATAACTTATACGAATTGTAATATTAAACAATGTAACACTTGCAAGAAACTTCTTGAATAGTATTTGACAAAATAGAACAACCTGTGAAAAAATAGAGTTGCTGTTCTTAAATCAAATGGAAAAAAACTGCTGCAAGCATTACAACTGAATTATTCCGCATTCTTTTTTATACTGACATATTCAATATATAAGTGCTTCAAAAATAAGATAAGTGTTATGTTATTGTAAACCTTGAATAATTTACATTTGCAAAAATAAATAGTAAAATAATTTTGAAATATTTTGCACTTTTAAATGTGTGATTTATAACGGTGTATATTGAAAAAAGGAATAGAGAAGAACATTCTTAATACTGATGTATTACCTTAAAGTTATGGGAGATCATAGGAGGTTGAGTGGGTCGATTTGGTCGCACCTTTGAATGTTTTAAAAAAGCAACGCATCGGAAGCAAAGATTAACACGAAGAAAGATTCTATTGCATTTTATTTACATCGTATACGTACATTTTCACTGACATGTGAAATAAAAGATCTAAACCGCATGATCGTTCGAATGAAACTAGAACTAAGGGGTAGTGAAAACCCTGATAAACCCCCACTTTGAATCTACTTCGGCCTGGCTGGTGTGCGTGACAGGTGTTGGCTCTCCTCTGCAGGTGGACCATGTGTACCTACACTACGTGCCATTCGAACCTGCGTGCAAAACCTTTTTCTGTCTTTTAATTTCCCTGACAGTTAAACAGGGGAGAAACTCGCCATTTTCACCTTTAAATATTTTACTCTTATCTCAAGCTGCATTTTTGCAATTCTTAAACTCAGCGATGTGCAAAATAATCATAAAAATTGCAGGCTGAGAAGGATTCCCTAAACGCACAATAAATGAAAATACACATCACTCAGAGGAATTATTCTTCATGACAAACGTCATGCTTGCAAGATTGAAAAATGAATTCTGCAAAAAGGTACATTTTTAAAGCATATCATAATATAGAATAAAAATTTAGAGGCGAGACTTTTGACATTGTTTCGGATTAAAAGAAAACAAGGAATAATAGATTAAAATACACAACAATCAAAGAAATATGTTTTTCTTCACAATAATTTTCATGCTTACAAAATTGCGAAAATAAATTTTAAAAGGTGTGTTTTTAGATTAATATATTATACAAAATAAAAACAAATCTAAGGGTGAGAATGGTAATAATTCAACAAAGTGGTAATTAAATTCTAAATTTGATATAAAATGATATTTCTCGAGTTATTGTGTATAGTATGAAATGTTACAATTTATTTAATTTATTGTCTGTTCTGATTATTTTTAAATATGTAAAATACAGGAAAGTATATATACGTATACTATAAATATATTTGTAATTGTTTAAAGAAAAGTTTAATTAATCTTGTAACAAAATATTCTTCAAAGGTTAACGGCGAGACAATTTTTTTCTGCATTATAATGCATAGTTAGTGTGCTTATCTAGCACCTGCTCTTTGTGAAAGACAAAGACCATATGACTTATGTATTGCATACGTATATGTGTATGTAATATATTTTTTGATAATGATATTTTGTTTACAAATCATTTAATAAAGTTACTTGTTATATCACCTGTACTTGAACTGATCGTTATCGTCTGTATTTTAACTGATCATTATAAGTATGTTATATGAAATAATATAATACACATATTTTTTTATTTTGTCAAACATAAATGAATTATGAATATTGTAATAAATGAAATTATCGGATATATTTCTTATCTTTCATAACACAATTTTTCGTTGCATCTTCTCAAAATATTTATGGTATTATTTTACATTAAATTTGAAGTATTTTATAATGTATATGATACTGGAATTTATACATATAAGAATCATAATTGTTGTTCAGGATGATTCAATAAAAAAAAGGGAAAACACGAGCAATTACACAGAACGTTTTTACGAAGAATATTATATTTCATATAATTCTTTGAATCACATTACTCATTGTTATTGACGTAAAACAAGCGAATGAATATAACGATTCTAATGTGCAGTTAATGTACTGTATTTATAGCTCATGAATCATCGGCGTGTTTATTTATTTTATTATCATCCTACATGAATAATCATATTTAAAAATGAACAAAATGTTACAGATGTATTAATATTATATACCTTTACAGTTCATAGGAATACTTGTATCAAACTTAATGAATAATACTTGTATCTAGTGTTCTTTAATCTCATAAAAATAACAATGCATCTCGAAAATACCAGTAATGCTATCGGTTTGAAACTTACACCAAATAATTTGTGTAATATTTAAAAACATTTAAATTATATAATATTTATGCAAGGTCTTGCGTTATTAATTTACATATACTTATGGTGATCATTCCACCTGGTAGAAAATATGGGGAATGTCATAGAAATGTTAAAAAGTTCATGGATCAAATTAAAAAAATTATATCTCACTACACCTACAAACTACGTATATATTTCCATATTTTAAATCAGTAAAAATTGCTGGGGGTCTGATAGACCCCACCTCGCCAGTCATAGTTCAACAGTGGCGACAGACTGATCGATAATGGAGGCGTGGTACCATAATCGATTGATTCCAATATTTCTTGACAGAAAATTAATAGAAAACGATTATTTTTTTCTCCTGAACCCACGTTTTACCACCGGCAATTTTAAACTGGCCTGTCATGTTTATATTAACGATCCAAGTATGAAAAATAGAGGAAAAAAGGCGGCCGAAGATCATTTAGTTGGTCATAGAGCAAAGTGGGGGTGGTCGCGTAACCTAGACGTTCTGGTACAGGCACTTTCATTGATCGAATCAGGAAGGCAGTGACCGTCACTTACGATATCCCGCCGTGAAAGAGAGGGGAAAGAAGCTCAGCTATTCGACGACGTACAGAATGGCGTGTTAGATTTTCAAACTTAGCTTATTATTGGTTAACGTACGTTAAGATCGTTAGGACGAAATTTCCCTGACAAATTCACCTGAAACGTCAACACGGGGGCGTTATTAAAAGGACCAAAGGTCTGTCAGAATTCTACGTAATACAATTGCTACAATTATTTTGACTCAGCCGTATAATTTCAGTAGTCACAAATTATAATCATTTTGCACTACCATTATTTAACCAAACTTACTTTTCACCCCTAATTTGAATGATTTAATACAATATTTAATACAATATACTTTTCAACCACCAATTCGTACGGCTTGTATAATTGTAATTATTTTGCACTTATAATGTTTAATAAAATTTGTCTTTCAACTCCTAATTTGGAGACTTGAGATATTGTAATCCTTTTGCATATATGATATTTAATAAAATGTACTTTCAACCTCTAATTTAAAGAACTTGAATGATTGTAATTCTTTCGCACTTTCAATAATTAATAAGATATATTTTTCAACTGTGGAATACTTGATAAGCGTTCTTATATATTTTATGTATACTTGATAAACTACCAATTGATGTTTAAATTATTTTTTGACATTTTATAACATATTAAGATTGCTTAAAAGTGATAATTGTTTAGTATCCCTTGTAATTTGTAAGTACAGTTGTTCAGTGCTTTAACACCATGCCTGACACAGTGAAATTTAACGTACATAGTCAGACACACCATAGTGCAAGTTATTATTACATGAAAGCAAATAGTTAAATTTTTAATTTTATTTCTTAATTTATTAGTGTACTCTATGGTGTACAATATTACACAATTAGTTACTTAAAAGTTTCATTTTTGCTTGTATAACTTGTTTTATTGAATTTGTAGAGCTGGTCACCACTGACCACCATTGTATTTGGTGTGTTAGAAGACCACGGGGACCATACAAATTTTAAAGCAAATTTTGTGGAGCTCCATGCATAATATCCTTTGTGAGTGGGTACTTAGAGGATTGACATGTGTTTCAAAGCTGATATGTTTCAAATTGCAAATTTAAAATACTGCGGTTTTGAAATGCTATTAAATATAAAATGTTTCAAACCTTAACTATTGTGAAATTCAAAAGTTTCAAGTTTAAAGCGTTTCACATTTTAAAAGTTCTAGGTTTCTATTGTTCCAATTTTTAAGCACTCCAATCTTGAAATATTGCAAACTTGAAGTGGTTCCAGTTGGAGGCATTGAAAACTTGAAACGTCCCAAATTTCAAGCACTGCAAGATTAATACATCCCTAATTTATAACATCCAAAGTTTCAAAGCAAGTTTGAAGTATTTCAAGCTTAGACAAATATCATTTCCGTTTAGCACACAATTTGGAAACCCTCCCGCGCAAATATTCACGCTGGTCCCTCCTGCAGGTACAGATACTGCGTATTATTAAACGTCAACGTCTTAATTCATAATAAAATCATAAATTAGGTGCATTTCATTGTACATCTGAAGGAAACAAAATAGAGTATTTGGTGATAATTGGAATGTAAGAGAAGAAATACGGATTCAATACGTTCCACCAAAGTTCCGTGTCATGTGCATAGTGGAAGTATCTACGAGCCCGATCAATAATCTCCTGGGAACATCCGTTCCCCTGCTAGCCTATCCAGCTGGTCACCCCTGCAGTAATGATAATGGTAGCACCAGCAGCACCAGCACCAACGGTAGCAGCACCTGCTACCCTCCCTATACCGTGTCAGGTCGTGACTCATGACTATTTTTCGCTTTACCAGCATCCACCATAACCAATTGCCGCAATTATTCTTTTATAACTCTTTTCCTACAGCACATTTTACTTTATCATAGAAAACTAACTCTTCTAGTTTGTTTACAATTGGTTTTCAAACTTCACCTGTACCTTCCTTACCCCTTTCTTTTCCTTGTACGGGAAGCAACCGTACTACCGCATAAAATTATTTCTCCGTTCTAAATTCTCAGGTCTTAATAATTTCGGGTAATCTTAAAGATCGGCAAGTAGTCCCATATTTTTGGGATGCTGAGTAACATTGAGCATGTCTCTGTTATTATGTATTATATTCATAACAAACATTTATTTAAAATTTAATTTTACAGTCTTCACGTATTTAATTGGAAGAACGCGAAAATGATTTATATGCTAAATGTTATAAAAAATAAAAGATTGATGGATTTAACAGCGCGATGCTTTACGTGCCATCTTGTATGCACAACAAATTTTAAATAAAACCGGAAATGACAAATTATCGTATTATAGATCGAAATTAAAAATTATGTAACAGGTCAGAATACTTCAGTTCGAGTATTTTTTTCAGATTTTACAAAATTTCAAGTTTTTTAATTTTAATAACAAAATTTGTTATATTCTCTCAAGCGTATAGTACACCTTGTTCTGTTTTTTACATAGGGTAAAAAAAATTTGTAGTAATTGTAGAAGAACGGCAAAAGTAGATTGGAAAAGTTGTAGTAAACTCTTACTTAGAAAAATTTAATGTTTCCTTGAAAACTGTTGATCGATAGAGATCGATGATAGGTTTTAATGTATCCCCTTAAGAAATGTTTATAGGTCACCACATGAAACATGATGTGGACGTATTTCAATGGTTAAGTTAAAAGACCAGATACCACCCCGAGAAGTTATAAATATAGACGAATGTGAGTATAGATTTCGAGAGAATGATGGAGCTCTCATAAAATATTCAAAGAAATTGATTCCGACGACAACCACCGTTGGCAGTAGCAGACACTAAAGCAACGATAATAATTAAAAACCTAAAAAGAAAAAATTGTGCTCTTCAATGTGAACTTGAAGGACATTTGGTAATTATGCAAATGACATAAGACACAATAAATTTTCAAATGAAATATTGTTTGTTACAGGGTATTATACTTTTTTAGATCGAGACCTTTTTTGGATAACGATAATTTTTCGTTATCTACTCGGTAATAATGCGTTATTTTCTAACATTTCGAAAACCTAAATTTTTTTAATTTTAATGTCTCAGAGTTCTAAAATTCTGATGTTCGAAATCTTCAAAGTTTTAAAGTCCAAAAATCTCAAACCCCAGAACATTCAAAATTTAAAAATTTGGAAAATCTTAAAGTTAAAAATTCTACTATTTGAAAATTGAATGCTAAGTTTGAAATTGCTATTACACCATCTAACCACCATTGATACCGCCGCCATTTTCTCACTCAAATGAATGATGTAACCACGATCACAGACAAATGAAATACTTACATCGATAACAATATATGTTTGCAAAAATGATTGATTATACTTTAAATTTATTTGCCAAATATGTGTACTAAATACACACGCACACGCACACGCACACACACGCGCGTATATGTATATATATGCAATATATACATATAATCTTACTACTTTAAAAATGATACTTTATTTTCATTAAAAAAATATCTTTGTAAATATTAAAATTTCAGAAATAAATTGAATTCATATTATTTTACTATTACATTTGCTTTCTTGTTATTCCTATATCACGAAAATCCTAAAAATCGTATAATATCACTATATTATACAAAAGGAGATAGTTGAAGTTCATCTGCTTCATTTAGCTTTAATTTGTTCTGTTCTCTTCTGAAAATTCCAATTTTTAAACGCGTCTTGTGTCCTTGTTAAATAATTCTTTTTGCAACATTTTTATAGGTCAAACATTAATTGTAAAAAGTCATGTATATGTATACAGAATGCATATACATGTATTTATATGGTACGTATTTACAAGCATAGATTATATTTATACATGTTATTTGTTCTATACATTATATATTGTGTATCTGTTTGGGCATCTACAAACATCATTATTAAAACAAGAACAAAATATCTTATATCAAATATAATGAATTTGTAAATCTTTACAAATGAAAGACTTGATTTTTGCAATATTAACATGTAAATAAAAAAGATTTATTATTTCATCTTGTAATAAGATCTTCACATAAACGAATGAGAACAACTAAGAATAATGTAGTATGCATATTGTAATTTAATCGAATGTAATGTTTTGTTATTGTATTTTCGGCAACAAGGAAGCATATCACGATAATATATTAAAATTTTAATTTATATCCTATTTTTTTTTACCTACTTCAACGAGAATAATTATAATTTTTCCTTCTCCCCTACTTATACAAAATAGATTGAATTAATACACAATCATATATACATACATGATTAATAAAATTGCGAAAACTGAAACACAGTATCTATGCTAATTTTATAACATTCATCCTTGATACACATAATTAAAACATTCAATTTGAAAAAAATTTCAATTTAATCATTACAAATAATCATCATAAATGTTTATAATCAACCAATATTATAAAATGTAAATAAATCATGAATGTGAAACAGCTGTTGTATAATTTTATAAATGCGTTTCATTGAAATTCTATAATAATTTTAATAAGAAAGCTGATTTAGAATTTCTCATTCTACATACTATTTAATAAATGTCAACTTGTCATTAGAACACTTCTAATTGCTATGTATATAAGAACTCTGTACCACGATAATATGATTCTACATAAAATGATTTATTATCGACAATGATCGATGTTGATTGATTTTACTATCTACACTAAATTGTGCAAATAACCTACTCATTTACAATAATCAATCTTAAGACTGAAAAATTATAGAAATTAAGGTACAAATGTGTGTTATTTTATATTATCGGTTTAATGCCGATTAGTAGTAAAAGGCGTTAATCCCCTGAGAGTCATGTTATCAAGAACGCCACTTATGTACGCTGAGACATCAACCGTATCTTCTTCTGCCTTTCTGATAAAAGGATGTTCTAACAATTTATTGTACTTCGGCCTTTGTGTCTCTTCTTTAATTAAACTATGAAAACAACGAAATAAGTCATTTTTATTAAATAAATAAGACACCTTTAAAGTTACTATTAAATTAATTTACCATGTATTCACAAAATTTACGAAATCCATAGTAAAATGATTTCCGTTTTCATTAGGAGATAATCGCGGTGGATCACCTTGAACCACTTGGTAAAGTTGTTCAAAAACTGAATTCCATTTTGGATACGGAAAATATCCAGTTGCTATTTCCATTAATGTAATTCCTAGTGACCACACATCACTTCTAACGTCATAACCCTTTGCACGTTGAGGATCTATCCTTTCTGGCTAAAAGATTACAAGAATTTAGATACCTCAATTTACTTATAAAATTCTATTATTCAATTTGATAATATACATACAGCCATATATGGTCTGCATCCAGCATCTCGGGTTCGTGCAATAGAATCTACTAACTGTCCTGATATACCAAAATCGCAAAGCTTTATATTACCATGACGATCTAATAGGATATTACTAGGTTTTACATCTCTATGAATTATTGTTAATTTTTCTTTGAGGTAATTCAATGCCTTTACTGTGGCAACAGTAATTTTTCCTAAAATACGTTCTGGTATCCTTTCCTTCAATACCTCATGAATAAACTTATAAAATATATCTAATGAGGTGTCCATGAGTTCCATGCAAATCCAACAGTCACCCTAAGCAAAATATGGAACAATATTAAAACATAGATATTTTCAAACATTTCTTATAGACTTACTTCTTTAAATAAAGCTCCATAAAATTGCACAATGCATGGGCATTCGTTAGACTTCATTACAACTTCTAAATCCATTAATAGTTGTTTTTGCTCCCTTTCATCCACCGTAGAACGAATTCTCTATAATTAAATAAAACAATTATGACCATTTCAATTTATTTTAATAATAACATTAGGTTATGTACCTTCACAGCCATAACAGTATCACTTATCCTATGAATCATCTTATTTACAGTGCCAAATCCTCCTCGCCCTATTTCCCCTAAATCTTCAAGATCTTCACTTGTAAAATCATATATTACATTTGGTGATAGCTGCAATTTTCCAGTACTTTGCATCGACTGACACATTCGTAATTTATCTCTACAAAAAAATGTATTATAATACAAATAGTATTAACATATATTGTTACTGAAATAAATTTTGATTACCTTGCTTTGTCAGGAAGTTCTTGTGAAACTTTACCACATGATCTTGCTGGTAGTTTAGGCAAAGATAAAGGTAAATTTGGACGAGAAGATCTGTCATTATTGTAAAAACAAGAAAATTAAAAGATCTTCTAAAACTATAATTAAATTATTTTTTAGTAGATATCTTACACCGGTAAACTTGCTGCAGTTCCACTTGAATTAGAAACAGAAGAATTGGTTGAATTACTAAATGACATATTACTTCCTTGTGTTTGAAAGTTAAGTTTGAATTGTCTTCTTTTTTCTATTATAAAATAAGAACAGTTATTATAATTATACAATATACATCCTAAATATTATCATAAAGCTGCAATGCATATACACATAAGCGTGCAGACACAATACCTGACATTTCATTCTGAACATCATTAATAGGTCCAAAATCCAAATGTTGAAAATTGAATGGTCTGCTAGAACCTAAACATTAATGGTACAATTACCAGGTTTGCTAACACTATGTCATCTATGTTGATATATATTTATGTACATAGAGACATACACACACATTTATGTGTGTATACAATTAAATTATGAATTTCTGTCAATAGAAAAAATAACACCTAGGTTATGTAGCTAAATCAATCCTTAAATTTATCAATAAACTCGAAGACACGTGTAACTTACTTTGATTGGTTGGAGTCGAAAAATTTCCCCGATTTTCTGTCATTTTTAAGATTCTCAATATCTGACTACCAGAACAAAAAATTTCTTATTAAAGGCACTCCTTTTAGGAGACCTTTCCGCAAGATCTTAACAATCTAGCATATGTATTCTGCGGCGAATGCACCATTTGTGCGGTTTTGTTCCTTTTTTGAGTAGTACGTAAAAAAATCTTACTTTAATCACTTTCTTTCAAATGCTCAATCTTAATTGTAATTTTAATTTTTTTAATACAAAACTACACCTTACCATAAGCTTATTCCGACCACTTATTTGACGACAGTAACTGTGATTATATACATACCACTCACTACTGTATAATATATGCGTAAATAAAAAGAGAAGATAATTATCGTAAGTTTACATTAATCTAAGACCAGAATTTTAACAACTCAAGTAAGAAACTTGTATGTATGTTGAACTGCTTCTGGTTATTCATTTATTTTCGTTTTATGTACATGTTTTCTGAAGTCTGTGAACTCTACGTTGAAATTTAGGAATCATGATAGTTCTTTGCTTCAATCGTTGTAGGCGCTAGTAGCGAGTGCAGTAGCCAACTATTCGGCTAAATTAATTTGTTCAACAAGAGATTGTATTCATCAGTCGACAAAGTTTTATTCATTTTGCGCAAGTTAACATTGATTGGTTCAAACAACTTTGCTACTAAACTTACGTACATGTGTATTTACTACTTTTGTGACATTTATTATATACCCAGTAATTCTTTATATCGTATACTTTTTATCTCGGATATAATATCGATTGTATGTTACAAGTTTGATGTTTGAATATTTGAAATCATTTTAAATTACAGAATTTGGGAATATAGAAATTTGATAATAGTCAAATAAAGTTTATAAGTTCTACACTATCTCCTTTTTATTCTTAATCACATATTTTTATTCAATTGTATAAATGAATTATAATTATTAATCATTTATTATATAAATGAAAGAGCGAAAAGAAAATAGTATGAGGGCAGCACTTACTAGTAAAGAATCTAATTGAAGTTAGTCATGTTGCGCAAAGTGAGTACGATCTTCCATTGAACGAAGTATACTTCGTATACTTTCTCGTAGAATAATGTATAGTTCATTTACTAACTACTTGAGTCGAAAGTCGTTGATCGTAGGTAATCGTGGCATGTATGAACGAATCCTGATTCACTGCAAATGTGTATTGTCAAATTAACCATGCTAAAATATATATTTGTGATTGTAGAAATTAACTGAAAGTAATAGAACATGGTGTCGATAATTAAAAAGCAATTGTTGAAACATTTGTCAAGGTACTTACGTGATTCAATTATTGAATAAGTCTTATCTTTAGTTCAATATGTAATTAAAAATTGCACCACCCTTGATAAAGTTGAAAACGAAAGCGTGTCATAAACATTTATATTTATAACTATGGTTGATCTTATTTATTTTACTAAAGAATATTTGATTTTGTTCTGGCATATACAGCAGTCTACAAATAATAATTTAAGCAAAAAATTTCTCCTTGTTATTATGTTTATATTATATATATTTTGATGCATTATATTTAGATTTACATATATGTATTAAATATCATATTAAAAAAAAGCTGTGATATTATATTTTAATTGCAATATAATGTTCAATTTATGAATTTCTATGCTTGCATAGGTTTACGAAGAATTTATCGGCTGATAAAATAAATCTGAGTACATTTAAAGGAGAAGGTGAACTAACTAATTTAGAACTTGATGAAATAGTTTTAACAGATTTATTAGAGTTGCCATCATGGCTTAGGTTAACAAGTGCTTGGTGCAATAAGGTATCATTTCGTATACAATGGACCAAGCTAAGAAGTGTTCCTATTTTTTTGGTAAATATACATATTTTTAAATATATATTAGATCTTCTTATTGAAACCTACGTGCTCAAAGATGTGTTATGAAAGAAAAAATATTAATGAAACTTAAATGTAACTATCTGAATTGATGTTGAAAAAGCAGCTTGTTCTTTAATTTTATAGTTCTATGAAGTAATATCCATTTAAATATTTTAAAATGCGGAAACAGTTATAATTTATGTGCTAATATTGAAAAAATATAGGGATTGATTTAAAGCTAAGATGTCTTACAGCATAAAATGTGAAACAATGTGCACATTCTTGAATCAGATGATCTGATATATTTATTACACAAACATTTGTAGCTTGATAACTAAAATTATATTCATTAAATTAATATCTTAAATTGTAATATTTTTATAGAGTTTGGATGAAGTTCATATAGAAGTAGAAACATGTGAAGATTTGAGGGACTTATCCTCTTCCCAAGGACTATCTTCATACACAGGTCCTGCAAAATATTCTTTTATACATAAAGTAATTGATGGTATAACAGTGGCTGTTAATACCGTATCAGTTACATTTAAAAGTCCTGCATTTATCGCTTCAGTTCAGGTATGTAATGTAACATCTTTTATAAATGAAGGTTATATTTTGATTATGTTGATCATTTATGTAACAAATAATAATTATTGCAAAATTATAATTTTGTAATAGATGAATCGGATTATTGTCGAGTCAAAATCTGCAACATGGCAACGTTGTGATCTTAGAACGACTAGAGTTAAAGATCCTGATCGTGGACAGTTACTTATTTTTAAAGAGCTAGAATGGCAAACAGTTAGAATAGAAGCACAAAGTACTAAGGATAAGAATCTTACACCATTACGTTTACTTACAAATCAAGCAAGATGTCGGATTACTATTAAAAAAAGAATATCAGGTTGAAAATATTTTTATTGTGAATGTATATAATAAACACATATACTATTCTTTATTTTGAGTGTAATGGGGTTAAATAATATATGTTTCAGATTGTTTTGTTATGGGATCAAGACTGATTCTTATATTAGATGACCTTTTATGGGTTTTAACAGATTCACAATTGAAGGCAGCTCTCCATTTTATTGATTCCTTGGGAGGCTTGATAGAAAAAGCTACAATTTTAGAACGTAAAACTAAAGCAGCTAGAAAGTTAGAGGTAATATGAGTATTTTATATATGTGTGTATAATTGTACTAAATTATGTAATTTTGGTCTGTCAAGGTATTGCCAGAATATCAAGCACAAATATCTCAGCAGTCAAGAACTAAAAATCAATATAATACTGCTATTTCGAAAATATTTACTAGATATGATGTGGTAGAAACATCATATCACTTTCTTTGTCAAAGAATTGATTTACATTTATGTGATGATGCTGGCAGTAAGTAATTGCATATTTTTTATTATTTATTGTAGAGGATATTGTAAATATCGCTAAAATTACTATAATATTATTTATTTAGATGGCAGATCTTCCCATGCTGATTTAAAAGATGGTGGTGCGCTACAAATTTCACTAATTAGATTTCAAATCGATTATTATCCATATCATTTAGCAATGGCTGACAGGAAACATTGGGCCAAATACAAAGAGAATGCTACACCTCACAGCCAATGGTTACAACAGTCACTAACTTCGTTTCGGAGTCAGTTTATGGATCTTATTGATTCTGGTAGAACACAGCATTCTCCTTTATCTAGAAGTCAAGGAAATGTTACAGGTTTGCAGTTGAAAGAATAATAAAAGAAAGAATTATTACAAATAGGTTTATGAATGCAGCTAAACATTCGAAAAATTTGTTCGTATTTAGTTAACAATACAAAGGGTTCAGGAGAAAACTTAGAAAAAGGCAATCAAATTCAAAATACAAATGCAAGCTCGAACGAACAAAAAAAATCGCAACATCCCAGCGGCAATCCTGTCAAAAATTATATTTTGGAACAGCTTGCCAAATTAATGACAACGTGTATTATAATTAGAATTGACGACTTTACCTTGTACAAAGTAACTACCACATCTCGTAATCCTGTACCAAAAGAATTTGTTACAGGTATGTATAGTTGTTTAAGTAGCATGATTAATTTACTTACTAGGTTTTTCCTTAAATTAAGAGATTTATATAAAATCCTTGCATAAAACCAATAATTATTTCATTCAATAATTGCACAGCTCAAACAAGGAAGAAACACGCATCAGGTACAAACTACTACTAGTTGTAGTGTACTTATATTAATATAGCATTAAAATAACTATTTAAACATTGCTTTCTGTTTGAGAAGTTCTGTTGCTTTGCGTGTAATGTTCTTACTCTTATATATGTACTATACAAGCTCGTATTAATTTTAAACTTGATCTAGATTTTTGATGGTTATTATAAATATACATACAACTAGTTATTATGTATATAAATAATTGAACGTGCAATTACAATGTAGCTGTAATATGCTCATAGCATAAATGAAAGTTTTTTAAGGCTTGTTTAGAGAGCTTATTTCGAATTTAATTTTTCACTAAATGTATTTTGAAAAAATATCAAAACTATATGTTACTAGTTCAAGCTTAAGGTTTTATACTTTTTATATTAATATTATTAACTAATTTTTGAAAAACAAATTACTATAGATAAAATGTACATATTTTAAAAATTTGTGGTTAATAATATATTATCTTTTAATATTAATAAGGATTCTTGTATCGTTGTCTATAATATATTTTTAGAAAATTTAAAAATCTTTCTTCTTTTAAATTTAATAAAAGAATAACAGCATTATGCCTTGTCCATAACGTTGGAATAGTCTGTAAAAGTCTATACCAATCATATTTCATCTAATCTTTATAACCATGTGACACTTTATTGTCATACAGAATATGTTCATAATGCATGTATGTTCTTAAAACAAAGTATTCAGGTTTCTATGTTTTTGTTGAAGTACTCTCGTTTTGCTTAGGTGACAGAGACAAGTTTTGTCTTCCAGAAGATGTAACAATTCTTCATGCTGAATTTACGTATTATTATTATCCTGGAGATATCACGTTTCCATGTAGGTAAACATACAATAATTATTATCTGTTAAATGTAATTATATTATAGATTAAAGTCAGTGAGTTAACTTAATGTATTTTCTGTTTTTTTAGTGCCGCCACCTAAGTTTTATGTACAGCTGAATCCTATTCAAGTAAATTTTGACGTTTGTTCGTGCTTATGGTTCAATTCTTTTGCATTAAACTTATACCATTCTTTAATAAGTAAAGATAAACAAGCAACACATACTTCCACTAATTTAATGTACTTTGATGTGAAAATTGAAGCTATACTTCCAAGAGTAAGCAATAATACACACCATCTTTATATATTTTTAATATTTCATTTTGTTTTAATATTTATGATACAATTAAATTTTTAGGTAGTTTTTGAAAGTCATCAGGATTATCCTAATCAGAAGGATAGGCCAAAGTCTTTGCATATCCAGACTTCAAGAGCATCAATAACAAATGTTCGATCAACGGAAAGATCTTCAAGAGCGGATCTAGCACAGTGTTTAAATGCTTTCCAAATGGGTCAGATGTTTTTTGGTACAGAATTTCCAAACAAGTCAGATGATTTTCACGTCGTAACAGATAAATTTTTAGCACATTGTGCAGGTAAACATATTACACACAAGGTTTTCCTTTAAGTATAAGAATTTCTGGACAAAGATACATTTGTTTTCTTCTTTCGTAGGTACGGATAATATTCGATACCCACCACCTAATTTTAGTAGTAATTCTGTAACTGAATTAACTCGTCAATTGCATCGAGAGCTTCTATGGACGGAAGCTAAAGATGTATGGTGTTGCAATTTAGAGCCTGTTTGGGGAGATTTTCTTGGTGCTCGTGCGGTTGGACAGAATCGTCCAGTACCGTTTCTCGATGCATTTCCTTTAACTTTGTGGTGCTATATGTCAATGGATCCATCAGATTTGTTAACAAAAAAATCTTCAACTGCTGATATTCATGGTCTTGTATACATAAGCAATTTAGTTAGCGTGCAGATCAATCATTACCAATATCTGTTTTTATTAAGACTGTCGGAAGTTTTATCAGAGATGGCAACGTATTTAACCATAGATTCGAATAAAATATTAAAAGTTGATGCTGGAGGTTCACTCGTTATTGGCGCACTGATACCCCAAGTAGAAGTAACTTTTGTCATGCCATCGCATACTCCTGGAAAAGAAAATTCTGGAGGAGATTTAGAGTCAGTTATGCCAGATTCATCTAGTATAGCCGATGACATTGCAACTTCATCTGCTCCATGGCAGAATAATACAGATCGAGTTGATTTTAATAGAAAAAAGATTAATATAAGTACTGAAGTAGCGACACCGCAAAGTGAAGTATCATCAATGTTGTCCATGGATTTTATGCATCCTGTTAATACGTCTCAAACTGTTGTAACATTTAAACAGAATGGAACAAATAAACACGATCAACAAATATTAACAAACACAACGCATGATAAGCAATGTGTTGGAATAGAAGAAGAAAAAGCATTACCTACTTTGCGATATGCGGCTGATACTACACATAAACATAGTAAAGGAGACTCTTCAGCAAATGCACCGTTCATCCCTAATAATTTCAATGTTGGACTGTCTTCTATGAAAAAAGGATTAAGTAACTTAATGAATTCTATTGATTCAGCTTTAAAAGCTTCCCCAGAAGATGGTAGTAGTGATACTGTATCAATACGAAGCGATGTTAGTTCTGATAGTGAGAATTATGTCTTAATTAGTCTTCAAGATCAAGAAAAATTGGATGCGATGTTTTCTGTTGATAATACACTTAGAGTAACAGCAGTAGAAGAAGCTAGTGAAGTAGTTGAAGAAACTCCTGATACTCAAAGTGAGAAATCTATGGATAGTGTATGTAAACGAAAGGATATTGTAAGTCTATAATATGATCGTGCATAATATAATATAATTGATAATTTCTATTTCGCGGATTATAATTGCTACCCTTTTTTTAGGTATCTATGGCAACATTCAAATTATCTAAAGTTGAATTTGTTCAGCAATCTTATGGATACACAACTTCCATTAAAGTTCAAGTTTCAAATATTGGTAACGATGAATGTTCATCTATTCCATGGGATGAGTTTCAGGTAAAATAAACTTATATTACTTTAAGTAACGAACATTTGCTAACTATACACAATTACGCTGTTTTTGATTCATTAGATAGATATAAATATTGAGGTTCTAAATATTGTTGAATTCAAAATTGTATGGTTTCTTCGTATTTTTTCACATAATAATTTTACTAGAAAATTTTCAATTTATTTATACACTGTACAGACTGCTTTTTTATTATGCTGAAAATTAAAACTTTGAATTAACATGACATTGATAATTTATAGGAAATATTGTCCATAAATTTTTTATTATAATTTGTTGAGATGTTTTTACTATGAAAACTTTAAAGACACGAGAAAAGTAATACACTATAGTATTTAATTGACATTCAATTTTTATAGTACAGTTCTACTTGGAATGTATCAGTGACTGATATTTTATTCTTAGTTATATTTCTATGTGCCACATAATTTTTAAATTTTTAAGTTAGCTTTATATTACATACATTACAAACATCTTATATTACATATATATGTATATTTATACAATGTTTGTCTTTTAACTTTTTGCATGCTTCTCCTGCGTCTCTCCTTCTCTTGTGAATGTTTTTATGTGGCACTTGTGGCAGGTCAAAAGGAAGGTATAGGCAAAATATTCATATATTTATTTGTATATACTCGTATATTTATTTATGCTTTGTACTATGTACACTTTATTGCATGTTTTTATTAAATTATTTTACTATATTATATAATCATTAGTTATGTAATATAACTTAATATATGATTGATTTTTAAAGTTAACTTGTACAAAATAAAATAATATATATTCCTTTAGTTCATTTTGAAATGATAAGTAGTAGCTTTTTGATTATTATTGATATTTATTCAATGCTTGTATACATGTATATGTATATTCAATACATATATGTGATGTATACATGTATTCTTATTATTAGATTACCAAGTTGCTTAAGTAATAATTAAATTTGTGTTATTACTTTTTTTTGTATTAATAAACATTTTTGAAGTATATTTTTAGTTTTAAGGTGTAGGTTTTAAAGCTATTTAATTTTAAATTTTAGTGTATATGTTCTAAAATTGTAATAAATTCATGTGGCATGGTAAAAATAATGCTTAGCTGGAATGAACTTAAGCTTTCAATTTGCTAAAAGTTTTTGCAATTAGAAATATGTATATTAATATATATTTTTGATAAGATCAAAGCTACTACAACCTTTGTATAAAATATTGGAAAATTTAAGCAGTGTTTTAAGTCTAAATAATTTTTTCAGTTCTGGTATTATTAAATATAAATAGTATGTAATAAATTTAATTAAATGTACAGACAAACAAAATAAAATTTATAATTCTGACATACAAAAGATATTTTATGTAATAACTTTGTATCTAGAATATATTTTTTAAATGTTTCTTTTGTTAATTCTGAGTTCATAGAAGCATTCAAATTTTATAATTTAAAAGGACAAACAAATTTTTGTATAGTATAGCAATTTAAATGTTTCGATGATATATTTTAAAGAACACATGTATGTATTCGTATGTATATTTATTCTTGAATATTTTTTGTTTACTAGACAAAATTCAGTGCACGATCTAGAGGTTGGGTTGAATTGTCCTCAGATTCTAACTGTAGATCATGCATTAAAATACGTTTGGATCATGATTTAAAAAGAAAATCGGATGCTTGGAAGCTGTCTCAAGCGAGTCAAAATGTGAATAATAAAAATACACGCTCATCTCAAAATCAAAATAATATTGCTGAACAAGAAGTAGAAACTTGCAGTATTGATGTGCATAATAAAGAAAGTGTTTTGGATTTATTTGAAGATAAGTTGGAAGTTAATGTTACTGACATAACATTGGCCTTGTCAATGAGTTCAATAACTGGACTTACAGATCTAATTGAAGATGAAATTATACCTAAACCAATACCATTACAGGTACAGAAAATGAAACTGTAATAAGCTCAATATTTGTAAGAGAAATTAAAATTTTATATTATTTATTATTACAGATATATTTAGAGAGTATATCATTGCGTTTAAATGAAGATCGTCCTCCTAACAATATAACTTCACCAGGACCAATCCCTATCGATTTGAATATTTCAAAACTCAGGATAATACGAGATGCAGATGGTGTTTTTCATATCGAACCAGTTGGTAAGTAACAGCATAAAACAGTAATTTCACCGTTATTATCTGCCACTTGTAGTCTATATTCTTCTTACATATTTGCTATCTGAACAAAATAACAATAAATTATAGATAATAATGTAGTTATAGTAAAAAGACTATTAGAATTTATGTAAGTGGCAAATTTATTTACAAATTTATCAATTTTTTTTTAATTAATATTGTACTTTATATAATTGTTTCGTGCATTCAGATGGCCTTTCTAATGTGAGCATTAATGACACAATTAGATAACTAGTAGTGGCTTTACTGCTTCAATAATATTGTCTAATGAAACTATACATGATTAGAATTTTAGATATGCACTTAATTAGGCATGTTTTATTTTTTCAAATTATAGGCAATTTTGCTTATCATACATGCTTATCGAAGTTTTTAGAGTACATATAAATTAGCATGAATGAATAACTTATAGAATATAAAACATTCTTATGTTCATATACAAAATTGCTTATTATACATAGTTTAAATAATCAAAAATATTCTTTACCTACAATTTACATTAAATCAAATACAAAATTAGAAACATACAATTGTTATGTTTTCCATTCATGTTTTGTTATATAATTCTGTTATTTATTTAATCAAAATATTCTATTTTTAGTCAACATACTGAACAGAAGTAATTCTCTCATGACACTGTCAGAGATTGATACTCAAACAATCCAAAGCATAGATTATGAAAAGGAACTCCACATTTTGAGACAATCCAGTAAACAGTTAAGAGCAGACAATGAAGGCCTTCGACGTCGTCTTGATACTCTCGAAAAAATATCAGAAGAAAATGCAAAATTAATGCGTATAAAAGAAGAATCTGACACAACAAAATTACATTTAAGTGCTGCGCAGGAAGATATACAAATACTTTTAAGGGAAAAGAAAGCCCTGCAGGAAACAGTTACAGAACTTCAAAATCAAATGTTTGCAAGTGGTGCAGCCAGTGGTACCCGTGCATCTTGGTCATCAAAAAGATAGCATACTAGTTGTTTTGATTGTTCTAAATGTTGTAGTTCGTATAAGTCATAATAATAATTTTTATAATTTCACGGTAATTTTGATTTTATCGTCAGTGAAAATATACATTGAAATAATTAAATTGATGCATATTGACGTTTATATTATTTGAATTTAATCTGAAATTTTTGTTGACAAAAGTTTAGTATTTAGGACAATATCAATTAGAGATGTGATGTATCAATGAAGAACTTGTTATTCAGAAATCTATTAGGTTTGGGTTTATATGAGGTGAAACATCTGTAAGTTGAATGATAAAATGACGAGGGACAAGGAAACATATTTAGGTTGGTTAGGTTAAGTTAGATTTGGTTTCAACAGCTTTGACCTCCAATAATGGATTTTCTTAGTGATACATTTTCTATTGATATACCACACCCGCTACTGGGTATGTGCTAGATACTAAATTACAATTTTTTTTGTTGATATTCATTTTATGCAAAATTTTAAGTTTGATTTTGCTTTGTAGACCATTTTGTGTATTATAATTATGTTAATTTTTACTATTTAGTTCTGTTTCTGCAAGATACAAATATATGAGATATACTGCATCTTAATATGAGCAAGTACAAGGCGATAAATAGTGGCAATAGTAGACAATGTTTAGTATCTTCATTAATAAATCAGGATAAAATTGGCAAAATGGAAATTTTTAGTACATATATGTGTATTTGCGGTAATGTGTATGTTTAAAAATGATGTATATACAAGTACGTTACAAATGCATATATATGCATATTTGTTGCATATATAAATCAATACGTACATAATATAATTAATAGTATGCTAGTCAAAATATTGCAATATATGTTTGGTTTTATAGCAGTGATTGTTATCTAGTATACATGGACAAGAAATTGGATATAAATTTTTTACAAGTGTTTTCGTTTTACATGTCGTAAATGTTATGACGATTTTCATAAACAACTTCTAATCTAATGGAAAAGTATACATTGTAATAAATGTGAGATATTAACGAATATGGAATGATGGTTTGTTGAAGCCTACATGTAGATTGTCTAGCTTAAAACTAATTGAAGTAGCATTAATAGTATTTATAAATATTTCAATATTATATTTCATGATTTTATAAACTATGAAGATAGTAAACATTACTTTAATGTGATACATGGTGATAATATGGAATGTTTCGATAAGACTGTAAAATCAACATTATATTATTTCCTGTATTGCCATAAAATATATTGATGGACATTTACAATCTTATCTTATGACTGGATACTATTGAATTACATTAAAACAAAGTTATAATATAATGATGTACTACATTTAATGAACAAATGATTTCATTGTAACGCAACATTGTGATATCTTGATGTTTCGCCATTAGTTTATCATTGTAAATTTAGTTTTAAATATGGGTTGCTGGCCAATCATCTTGTTACAAAACTGTGAGGTATTTTTATAGCACGTATTGAAAGAAAAGGAAATTAGGTTTCTTTAATGATGCAAAATTCTTTTTGTAGATCAGCTTTTTCTACTAAAAATTGACACCATTTGTTTGAAAAGAAATAATAGGTGGCATTAGAAAAGACTTACTTTTTATCTGTTATATAGAGCAAATTATCTTGATCATTTTCTTTGAGATCATTCTTTAAAATTTAAGGAATTTACTTATGACAAAATTACATTTATGTTTAAATAAAATTAAAATTTTGTCTTAATTTACAAAATTCTGTAAATTGCTTATTTTCTTCTTAATCATATATGTACTTTTCTTATTTTTTATTTTTATAGAAAAACTAGATAATAAATGAATGTCCCAGAATATGATTGAGATAAGTGCATAATTTATGTTGCAGGAATATGTAAAACGCATACTATAGTGGAATTGACTGTGTATTTATAACTGTATGTACATAAGTTACATATTTGGGACTCTGATGAAAAAGAAAATTATGTATTGAAGTTTTAAGGATTTTCTCAAATTTAAAAAGTGGTAGATTTTGTGTATATAAATATATATGTATATATACACATATATGTTTATATATATTACGTGAAATATCTAAACTTTGCTCGCAATGCATTTCAATTGTTTCTTCCATTCTAGTTATATACTTTTGCTGATTAAAGGCAAAACAATATTTCATTTTGTTAAATATTATTAATTACTGTATAGTATTATATTATTATTACATCTTCAAAGATTATCAAATATTTTTATTAATAACAGTTTTATTAATATTGTTATTATTAATATTGTTTTTTTTCAATTATTGCTGATGTTATATCGCCATTAAAAATAATATTTATGTCATATGTAAGATGTATATTTATTCTAAGACATATATGTCACATTTAAATGCTAAGAAGTTAAAGTTTTGTGACTGAGTATAAGTTTATAATGAAATAAAATTGAAAATATCATAATCTTGAAAATCTTTAAAATATTTATTCAATATACTAAATATGTAACCTTTTTTGTGCCTCTCTGTATGAAAATTGTACAATATAATTATGTTTGAGTAATCTCTGATAATCATGCGAAAAATTTTGATTATTTTATTGAATTTATTCTGATATTTTTATTGTATTGAATATAAAGGTGATTGTAATTTTTAGTTATGAAATTTTTTAATTGAAAAAAGTTGTTTTAATGTTTATTTTTGTGTTTCAATTTGTAACTTCTGAAAATAATAACTTATTTTGTACATAAATAAAAGAAAACAAATTTTAAAGATTATGTTTAATGTTATATTTATTTAATGTTTATGCATTAATAATTCTAATAGAATATGTTCAGTAGAACATATTTAAATTTTCTTTGTATGGACATTATACTTTGGTGTTCTTGTTATATTATTTTATGTAAGTACTTAGAATTTAATTATATTAACTTATGTATATGTAATGAAAACATCTATTTGTAAATAATATTTGCATAGTTTGTGTGTGAATTTAATGCAGCATAAAGGAATTATTTCTGTTATGTTCCTTTAGCTGTTTTTTATATTTACCTTTTTTTAAATGTATATTATAATCAATGTATTGTAATTTATACAAGTTTATTATAAAAATAAAAGTAAAAATAAACTAATAAAATTGCAATATTTGATTTAACTAATGATCTGTGTTTAATACAATAATTAAAACATACGTATATTGGAACAGAATTATATTTATTGTATATTTCAAAAATATAATATAAAAAATTAATGTAAATAAATATGCGTAATGAATAAAAGAATGAATCTTTCATTAATTGTAAATTGAAAAGACCGCGTAAATGTTCGTGTACGTTCGTGTATCGTCGGATGTTTACGCCATCGTATATCTGTAGCGAATAGCGTCTTTAACGAAAGGGGCGACAAGTGCCACGGTCGAACTATTTACTTGAATCTGTGTGCGAATCGATTTAGTGTGTGGATCAAAGCGAGGAAGCAAAAAAATAAGTCACCTAAGGAATCGTTATCACTACACGTAAGTAATAAATACACAACTAACACAATTAGGAAAGGTCATTTATATCTGTATAAATACCTGTACCCGTAAAAGATTTGTATTTAAATTAATTTCTAATAACATTGAAACTGGCGGTTGAACACGATACTCGCAAGTTATAATCATGTTTCGTACGAAGTGGTAACACATATTTTACTTTTTCTCCTTTTTATTATCTTTCGTGTGTTCTAATCGCAATGAATTGAAACGTTTTCTCTTTTTTAGTAAGGAACACGATCACTCTTCTTTCTACCAGTTCTTGCAAATGGAGCACAGTCATAAGAATACTGACTGTTATTTTTTCTACTATTCTACATGCAAAAAGGTACGTTTCTTTTGTCAACGATGCGTCTGGATTGTTAATAGTATTTTACTATTTTGAAGGAAATTCGATTGATCGTATATTTGTTCCATATTGTTTCTGATTCATTGAATTCAGGAGGTTAGATCAGCCATGTTGGAGCTAGGTTTTACGATATTCGTCTTTTTAAAATAATTGGCAAATTAATTATTTATTTGTAGTACAATCATTTTTTTTTAATCATTTTAACGTTATTTTACAGTTTTCTAATTACCTTTAGCATTTATCTCTTACAGAGTCTTATAGTAACATGTTTTAGTATTAATTATTTAGTGTTAACAGTTAATTAGTAGTTTAGTATTAATAATTTTAATTTTGTTATGGACGACAATATATTTATCACTAAACATGATAAACTTTTGTTAAGAAAATGCGAAAATTCAAAAAGTTAATTACAATATAGCTTGCAGTATTCATATTTCAAATAAGCACTGCAGCTATTTATAATGATAATATATGGATATTTACATTGTTTTGCTGCCTTTGTATTAATGCATATTGATATATTGACATTTTTTATTTTCATTAATTTGCAATTATGTTTCAAGGGTGATAATTGTCCATTCAGACATGAACCATCTGCTTTGGGTTGTGAAACAATGTGCATATATTGGCAGCAGGGTAAATGTCTAGAGGAACATTGTAATTTTAGACATATGGAATTAAAAGTGAGTATTTCAAGTAAAGTTGCAGTTAAACGTTGTTTGTATACATGATTCAATATTTTATCCAAATTTATTAAACAGAAAAATCGCAAGTCAATTCCATGTTATTGGGAAACGCAACCTGGGGGTTGTAGGAAACCGCACTGTTCATTTATGCATAAGAATGCTCGTACAATTTCTAGCGATCCTATTAATCCAGTTAAAAATACTGACTTGACATCAAAATCGTTAAACCAAGAATGGTTGAATCGTCAAGGTAAAATTCTTGTGTTTTATGTGAAATAAAAGTATCTGTGATTTTATTCTCATGCGTGTTAACAAATTTTCATTTTTGTTATTGCTAGATGATACAAAGTATGATGGTAGTAGCACTGAATCGGATCAAGGTAGAGGAAGCAGTGAAGCAGGCAGTTTTATTGGCAGTCCAGCTGTCGATCCTCTTATCGTCAAATTTGAAGAAGGTATGAGGCTTTACTAGCCCCCCCGTCCATCTTACAGCGTACCTTACTTAGCATCGGCTACTCTTTCCCTTCCGCCCAATCTACAAATAGTCATAAATATTCCAAATGCACTCAGTATTCCAAGCAATTTGACGATTCCTAATAACGTTTCTAACAATCTCAACGTATTGAATAATATCAACGTGACAAACAATTTGAATATACCAAAGGCTAATAATGTACAAAATTCACATACTTCCCCTTGCCATCATACATTATCATTTTCTCATCCACAAAATCTACATTCGCATTCTCCTGGTCAGTCATTGTCACCACTGCAAAATCAGCAAAACTCTTCACTAGTTCAACAACCATCGTATTCATCCATACATACTAGACAAACTTCTCAGCCTCAAACTTCAAGATTTCCTTTTTCATATCTTGAAATGTCATCTTACAGACGATTCTAAAATTACCTGGAATTACTTGACTTTAAAAATGAAAGTTTTTGTCGATTAACAAAAACTACATTAATGAAATATTGGGATGAAGGAGAAAGAGATACAAAGTTATTTCAAACAGCTAGATATTATTCTTTGAAAGGTATAAGGTATTGTATGAAGATTTATAAACGTATACAATACTTCATACGAGAAAAGTAAAGAAATTGTAATCTCTATTTTACAGTACCGTACATATTACTTTTTTTTTATAGTAATTAAGCATTAGAGATTTTAGTACATTTCCGATACTTAATCGATTTTCATTTGACCTATCCAATTATTAAATGAATTGATATATATATATATATATGTATATACATATATACATATATGTATGTATATATATGTATATACATATGTACATATATATATATATGTATATACATATATACATATATGTATGTATATATATGTATATACATATGTACATATATGTATATACATATATACATATATACATATATGTATGTATATATATAACGAAAGTCAAACTTCTTATCATAGAACAGTTTTAACTGATGCATTGGTTTTATAGAAAACCCATTTGATTTTTTGCTGATGGTAATGGTTTTGTATAGTGGCAGATGCACATCAGTGAATTGTAAATTTATAAAGAACGTTTAAAGTTTTCTTTTCAATAATAAAGACTACAATATTTCTAGTTTTCAAATCTATATAAAGAATACCTATAATTATCGTTTGACTTGCATAAACGCACTATGCAAGACAAGATTTTACTAGCTGCGAAACTGCTGGAAAACCAATAGGTGAGCTATATCGTTGTCTTTATTATTGGACAGAGCAACCCTAGAATCATTAATACCTGCAGAGTTTCTTTGAATATTGTTTCTTAAAAGTAATATATTTAAAGGTGTGCATTGTTGTTTCAATACAATAATCTATTACACATATAATTCTGCATACACACGTGGTTTATATTTATGGGGAAGAGGGATAACATGCAACATTTAGATTAATTTGGTGAAACTGTGAAATCAACATCTATTAAAATGCAGTTACATTCATCAATGAAAACGAGAAAGTTAAGAGTAATTGTGTCATTAAAAAATTATCATAAACACAAAAAAAGGGAAAAGAAAAAATAAAACAAAAAAAATCCACTTAATAAAAAACGTAGATTTGAATATCAATTTTTCCAGGGGCTGCTATATCTAAACTTTGCCTGTAGCCCTCTAACTGCCTATGGCTATCTTTCTCCAGCGGCAGGCGCGATGAGTCTCGAATTTTCCCGAATGCCGCAATAGAAACCAAGATTGAAGTATACTATAACGATATCGAAATGAAACAATACTGGATGAAATAAGAAGATAGCTATGGGTCGCCGCTTTGCAACACATGTACACACTCAAACACATACCTACACATATACACACATCCAACATACAAATATACCATCTGAACTCGCACAGATTTCTCGACACCTATTTAACATCCGAATAATTAGGATGAAAAAATGTTTATTTTTATGGAGACAAAATTTTTTATGTATGTGATGTTTAATCTGTGCTTCTTCAAGTTCGAAGCGTAATCGATTTGTACTGGAATATATAATTTGAAACAAAGCTTTGTTTATAATTTATAAATACGATTACGCTTTAAACTTGACCAACTACGAAAGTCAAAAAAAAAAAAAAAAACTAAATTGCTTGAGTCGAATACTGCCTGCTTTTCTTCTCCGTGCAATATTGCATGTATCGTTACATGCGATTCAGTCTACCACATTTCCTTGGAATGATATAAAAAAAAGCGAGACGAGCAAACTCAAGTTTGCAGTTAGATATAAAAGCAGTATCCGATTTAACCGTATCCCAGCCTTAATTTAGTGCATACGCGTAAACGAACATAATGCCTTCATATGTTTTGGCTTCCCGTTAAATATTAGCGACTTTCAAAATGGCGTGGGATAAGAAACAACGGTGATAGTTGTTCGTATACGGACGATTAAATTTGTTACATCAGCGTGTAAATTGTGCTGGTATTGTGTCAAGTTTTTTAAACTCTTGTAACTTTATTATATGTAAATTGTTCAGCGAGAAAAAGCCAATTACACCGATACGTGGCGATTCGCACCTCTTTAACCAGAATCATGTTACATAAATTTTCTGTAGCTTGTTCTTTTCTTTCGATTAAACAATTTTTCAAGGAAAGGAAGTGAAGGAAGAAAAAGGATATAGAAATTGCACGCGTTAAGCAATAAAACATAGAAGTAATACAATACCGATACAAAATGCCGTGTCCATGAATACACAGACAAACAACAAACATGATTGCTTGTTCATCTGTGTATTCAGGGAGAGTATAAAATATAAATGCGACTTAATATCACGTATTATATGTATACACACAGGACATATTTAAAAAACGTAAAAGAAAAAGAGAAAAATAACAAAAAAAAGAGCGGAATTCGGTGGAATAGTTAACACGTATAAATTGTTTCAGTCGCGCGATATGATATTATATATTGCTTCGTTTACGTTAGATACAAGACAAAAAATAGTAGTGTTTTTGAATGTATAACTAATATAGATTCCAGTGCAAGATAAGATATATATACATATTATTTATTATTTTTATTACGAAATACTATTTGCGCCTAGACCCGTGTGACGAAGACACGATGGGAAAGAAAATTACTAAATATTAATCTTTACTGCGAGAACCGTACAGCATGGTCAGAAAAAAGAAATTAATCATGTATTTAACTATTAACGGTATTTACGATTCAGATAATTGTCGTCGTGTAATTAAATGTCGAGTTTGTACGGATAGAATTCTACGTTCTAGTTCCTGTATTAGATTGTCTTCAACGATTTGATTCTTTTCTCCTTTCGACGCAGAGAAAAGAAGCGGAAAAATGAAACGCGTTTAACTTTTTCGCGACCCGAGATATTTCGCTACGCCTTTGTTATGTAATGCTATGAACGAGATATCTCGCCAATACAGTGCAGTTTATGCGACACTCCATGGACGAGTTATAATATTTGGATGTGAAATTTATTATTAAAAAATTTGAACAGTACTTAACGGAAGTAGATACACAGTTAAGATTAATAGTAGAAATATTAAATATTTAAATAATTATTTTATGATCAAATATGGTTGCAACGTCTTCAATGACAAGATATCGCCGTGCTTTTTATAGCTACGCATTATGTCGCTAAGTGTTGTAGGACCAAGCGTTATATTGTCATACGTCATATCGTTGTCACGCGATGGTTCATCGTGTGTTGTACTTCTACGCGTCATATTGTCATCCGTTGTATTACTACACGTTGTACGACCAGGCGTCACATCGCCACATATTATATAGTTAAGCATTGCATCGCTGTGTGTTGTATGACGAATTATTGTATCGCTAAGCTTTCAAAGGTAAAGCGTTATGTCTTTACGCGTTGAACGATGAAACGTTGCATTTTCACGCACCATGTGACGAAGCTTTGTGTCTTTGTGCGTCATACAATAAAGCGTTGCATTTTCACAAGTGATATAACAAAGCGTTGCATCCGTTATAGTTACACAATCACGAGTTGTTCCATTATAAATATTGAAAAATAGATCCGAACTGAATTTTGTTAGTAACCTACTATACATGAAATATCTTGTCCATAGCTTCACATAAATAACACTGTAATTACGAGATACCCCGTCCATAGTCGCGAAAGAGTTAAATAGTATAACAGGAGGATTTCTTTGTAACCATGTACTTATACACACGAAAGTTACGGGTTAGTCTTCGAGTAAAATGAAATTTAGAAGCTGAGGAGAGAACGAAAGGATTTAAAAAAATATTAAACGGGTACGTTTCGTCTCCTGTTTCACTGTCAGAATGCTAATTTGTGTACTTGTCGCATCGACAGCTATCTGATCGATTAATTCCGTGAATTTGTGAAAATGTGATACCTAAATAGAACACGGAAGAATAGAAATGCAGAATCAATAATTGCAGGCCTTTGTATGCGGAGGGTGTTTTTTTGATTTTGCAAGCTTACGTTAAACACGAAAGAATAAATAAACAAAACAAAAAAAATACAAAAATTACAAACATTTGCGATTGTTGCTTTTGCTCTCTTCAAGACAGATGGCCTGTAACGCGAGTAATTTCTTCGCGAGTGCGTGTGTGCGTGATTATAAGAGATGAAATAGTGGAAAATGATAAAACTCGGAAGAAAACGATCAGCAGCTGGACTTGAGTCGCCGGCGACGATCTGAAACTTTGTTTTTATTCGACATAGAATTTTTTAATCATTCTTTACCGTTGAGAAATGAATGATAGTCTCCGTAAACATTACATTACTTCTTACCGAATCTTTGTATCGCTTTTTTTCTCTATGTTGAATATGTAATCCGTTAATCGTTTCTTAGCTTCTTTTTTTTGTAAGGGTTCCTTTCGTTTTTTTGCCCTTTTAAAGGGGACCCACAACGTTGTTTCTTTTTGTGTTTCACCATTTTGTTTTCTTTTTTTTTTAATTGTTAATTATCGAGTGTGGTCCAGCTGCAATCATTGTTCTTAATTATTGTCCTCCATCCGGGAGATGGTTTTCTATTTCAATTATTATCCTCTTTGACGATCGAATTATTTTCTGTCGTGTTTCTTTATTATCTTTTTTCTAATTTATTGTTATTCACTTTATGTGGTTACACAATCGTTGTTCGCTTTTTTCTTGAATTGTAACTTGCGTTCATCGTGATATTAAGTCATGAAAATAGAATGTGCAACTTTTGTTTAACGACAATTTCGATCGAATCATGTTCATCATTTGATTATTAAAGCGGCTTTTAACGACGAGCAATGAATGAATCACGAGAAATTGTCGTTGTGTCTTGGTTCAGCGATCCGTGTTAATTAATTTGATGATTAATGGCGAAAAAACAGGGAGGGAGAGGAAGAGAGAGAGAGAAAGGGAGAGAGAAAGAGAGGGAGGGAGGGAGAGAGAGAGAGAGAGAAAGAGAGAGAGAGAGAGAGTGTGAGAGAGAGAAGAAGAAAGAAAGAGAGAGTGTGAGAGAGAAAAGAAGAAAGAAAGAGAGAGGGAGAGAGAGAGAGAGGAAGAAAGAAAGAAAAAAAACAGAGAGAGAAGCAAGCGAATCCTTTCTGGATTCTGAAAACAAAAGGGACTCGATTGAAAGAGATTATATGCTGGATATGCGATACGTAATTCCGCACTATGTGAATCGATGTAAATGAATGAAAATTTATTATTATTATTATTATTACTATTATTATTTATTGAGATGGTACTTGGATTTCAATAAACTTGATGCTATGAAAGAAAAGGAGAAAGTAACGCTAGCGTGACAGAGACGATTTTTAACTTTCTTGATTTTTTTCCATTTTTTTTATAAGCAATTGATAAACATATAGCTGGAAAAAATCAATCGTCTCTGTACACTGTTTCTTTGTACTTATTATCAACGTTCTGTCAAATTCATTCACTGGGAGCTAAGCGAAACTATCGCAAATAGTAAACAATTGTTTCGTTTTTATTTTTAAGTGTGTTCCATTTCATATTGCATTTATGAACAAAAATTTGTAACCAGTTTAATAGTTCTTTTTCTAAAGGATCATTTACTATTTTGATATATTCCTTAGCTCGTCGATTACGTTTCCTCGTGTTCCAATATTTTCTCGTCGACTAGACAAATTTTGTAAACCTGCGCTGCTCGAAAATTGTACATTTTACCTGAGACTTCATTTCCTCGGTTTGACCGTTTTCAAATTCAACCCATGTAATTTAGCGAGACCGATTTGATTTTTTGTAACATTGTTTATGAACATTGTATCCCAATTAAAAAATTTTACGACAGCTAACGAGGCATATGAATAATTTCATTTGAAATTCGGCTATTATATGTTTTTTCAAAGAAAGTTGTTCTTTTTTTAATTACTCTTGTTTATTTTGTTCAATTTGAACGAAGATATGGAAAGTGGAAATTGGAGATCGAACAGCGATTAAATAGGTACTAAAAATGAAAAATTAGGATTTTTGTATCAGGGGGGACAAAATTTAATTACCATGTTGCCACGTGTTGTATACGTTTTACGATCTCACGTTAGATTATCTAGCATTGTACGAATACGCATTACATTGCCATGTATTGGTAATTTGGAAATTTGAAAAATTTGGAAATTTAGAGACGTAGATATATAGAAGCATCAAATTTCCAAATTTCCAAATTTTTAAGCTTTCAAATTTTTGTATTTATATATCTAGAAATCTAGAATATTGTATATTTGGAAGTTTGAAAATTTGTAAATTTAGAAATACAAGAATTGGGTTTTTTTATATTTTAAAATTTTTTAATTTTCATGCTTCCAAATTTTCATATTTAGAAATCTAGAAATCTGTGAAATTTAAAGTTAAAAAATTGGAAAAAATTAAAAAATTAAAAATTTAACAACGCGTGAGGAAGCGTTATATTGCCATATGTTAGCTTGACTTTTGCTATATAGCTAAATGTAGCTGTTGCTATGTAGTTAACTAGTCATTTTGCAATACATTACATCGTCACATCTTGTACGTTTACGCGTTATATCACCATAATCAGGTGTTTGGGGCTAGCTTGTATTACATGGGAGTCCATATCCATCGTGGTCCCTAGCTAGTTACGCCAAAGGATATAAATGAAAGAAAACGCAAGTGACGACGACGATAATAGTTCACCCATTGGATTCTAATTATAACCAAAATACGCAACCTGGAAATTTAAAAAAGATCAAAACTAAACAGAGATCTAAACAGTGAGAGAAGAAATGGAGATTGGCTGTCCATAACTCTGTCCGTGATGTATCGATCAAAGTATTGGAACTGTACTGTAAACATTCTTCTTTTGCTGAGTTACTGTATCATATAATTCTAACCGAGCAAAAATAAGACGCTGGCAAGAATGACGAGGATTCAATCTAGTTGCTAACGGCTCGACTAAAATCTCTTATACTATTTCAAAGAACCATAGAGTATCTCTAAAAAGAGAAAGACACACACGCAAAAAATATGGATTTAGCAACGAGCGTCGACCAGCGTAGAAAAAAGGAGTATTGTCGTTGATCGTTGAAGACTAACCAAACATTCTTGCAATTTTGCACTGTGTTTCTTACAGAGTCAGACAATGAAAGTGTACCGTCTCCTGTTAAGCCGCAGCCGAGGGTTCCTTACTGTAAAACCTACGAAGAGATCCGATTGGAGGAGATCCAAGCTGAGAGCGCAGCCTATTATTCGTACCAGACTGAAGACTATCAGAGCAATATAACCGGCGAAAAGGTCAAGACACGCAGGACCCGGAGGATCTGCCTTTATCCGTCGCTCGACAAACGGGAGAACTCAAAAGAAGGTTTGGATTTTGGAGTTCTGACCTTGGAAGAGATACGTCGTCGAAAGAGGCGCAAAGCTCTTCAGCAAAACGAACCCAAAGACACTGACGAGTCGACCAGCGACTTCCTGAAGGACGCCATTGACACATTAGCTAAACTTAGGGATATGACTTCGGTTAGAGGTCTGAAAAGACCTCTGGAGGACCCTGAAGACGACACGGACAGATGCAAAATACAGTGCAACGTTATTCGTACTAACTTCAGCAACGTGCCGCCGGTTAAACTTCGGAGATCCCCGAAAAGGTTCGTAACCAGAACGCAGACGGAGGATAAAATGGCGGAGGAAAGGAAGAATGCTGTGGATAGACTGGATGAAAGTGTGGCTAGGAGAAAAGAGGTGGAGGTTAGGCTGTGTGATAGCAGCACGGACGAAAGTCAATCGTTGTTGAATAGTGAGACGATTTCGGATAATGTGATGGAAGAACAGAAGGAGAGTATGGTTTCTTGCGATAGTCTATTGAATGTGAACGAAGATGAGTATCTGACATTAGACATGGCGTCCGATGACATCCTGAAAGACATTGATGCTTTGCTCAAGGAGAAAAGCTCGGTTTGAAAAGCATATGAAGATTGGAAAGAACACGTTACTTGGGAATGGTATTTTGTTCTCCGTTTTTGGTTTCGTCGAACGTTTCGTCGTTTAGCTTGCTTTTTCAACCGTCGCTGTTCTTGGAAATGGTTTTGATCATTCGATGATTGCTTCATGGATTTGATGATTCTATTCATGAATGGTCAATCGGTTTTTGAATGGGCGAATTAATTGTGTAAAGATTTCTTTTCAATTTTTATAACGCATGTGATCTCGGAAACGTGAATTGGCTCCAAAGCTGATTGTTTTATGCGATTTGATTATATAGGGGATACTGAACTAATAGTCATTATAGCACGCACTTTTTTGAGATAAGAAAAAATTCAGGATTAATGTTCCTAGAACGTAGTAAAAGGCTAGTTACATTCGAGCAAATGTTTATAAAACTCAGGTACGTCATCAGTGATTTAGAAACAGAAAATTTGTAATTTTGAAAATTAAAAAATTTAGAAATTTATAAAAATGTGAAAATGTTAAGTTTTAAAGTTTCAGAATTAGGAAATCTGAAAATTAGAAAACATGAAAATATTATAAAAACAAATTAAAAGCTTTGCACTCTAATTTCTCTACCATTTTAAAAAAGCACGTGCTATAATGTTTCAAAATATTTGTGATCCCCAACAATTTCATAAAATTTGGAGTAATTCAACGTGTTCCGAAAATCATGCACTCTTGTAAGTATTTTAAATAACAAATAATTGCACGATTAACAAAAAACAAGAACGAAATGTTTTGACTAAAATAGTCTAGATATTTTCAATAGCAGTTTAATTATGGCAGTGTTTTAAACAAATATTTTTGACTAATTGTTTTGTTATCACGCCGTTTAGTAAAAAAATCAGTGCATTTCTTTATGGATTCGTTCATTTGTACCTTTGTTTTAATTTATCTGCTTTATATCTGTACATAGATCATTAAACGAATAGTCTAAAGAATATGAGCTTCGTACAATGATTCTTTCGATTATACCGAAATACTTCAATCAAAAAGAAATTTGTTAAAAATATCATTCGTTTTCATCGTTATTATTTTACGACATAAATTGTAATCGAAAAAAACATTGTCCAGCTCGAAATTTTGAGATATAAAATGATGTTGAGAACAAGAAATACTTTTACGTACTCGAAAAGCAATGAAAATGTGTTCTTTATTAATTATTTCATTCCGTATGTTGATAATTATTAATAAGTATAAAAAAATATTAATACAATCTAATAGGGAAGAAGATGGAAACCCTTCACGGTCCAATTTTTTCCTTGATTCCTTTAAATCAAGCGTTCAAATTCGTGGTTAAAATTTGCCTGTACCATAATCTGTATTATAGAAATGTAATTTTGAATCTATTTATAATGGTGTTGGGCATTTATATCATAAGAAAACATATCAGAGTATATGTTAAATCGCAAAAAAATAATTTAGTAAGGAACCTGAAGGGATTATTTAATTATAGTGTTTAATAATACCTTTAAATGTGAGTAATATTTTTATTATTATTTTAGATGGAAGGAATTTAACATTTGACAAAGAGTTTATTTCAGTTTCTAATTTGGAAGATATTTTGACGATGAATGTATACAGGGTGACTCATTTTAATTTGTTAGTAATTAAAATAATATTAATAAATATTATTATTAATAAATGTTATGCATGTTATGTATTGTAATGTTTAGTCAAAAAAATCAATCGTTATTAACAAAAAAAGATAGCATATTTGCTATTATAGTGAAAATTTAAAATTCTTTAATGTTACATCAAATAATACATAAAAATCTATATAATTTCACTTAAAAATCATTTACTTACACGAGATAGTTTAACTCTAATTAATAGTCAAATTATTTATTATTTCTTTTTATACCGCGAAAAATTAATTTTATTCGTTTGGTGCTATTTACTAACTCGACTTTACATCCACGTATATTATTAGTAATAATATACATTTATTTTTTGGAATAATTTCTGCAGAGACGTATTCATACGTCATTTGTAATAAAATAATTCGAAGATTGTAAAGGGTCACCCTTTATAACTCAAATATATTATATTTTACATAATAACAGTTCCTAAATACACGTTCTTTTTCGTCAAGTCTTTCAATTTGCATTTAGACACTGATGTATAGCAACAGGAAATAGTAAAATAAAAAATGAGATTATAAAAGTCTTTTCGATACTGGACCGTCAAGGGAAAAATGATGTCAGGTCTTTTTCCATTACGATTTATCAATCAATTTCCACGTTCTAATGTTCGTAAATTAAACGAGCTAATTACCACAGTATCGTTTATGTTAGAATAATAGTTCATGATTTAATCGTATGACCTTCTGTATGAGAAAAAAATTAGCAATTTTTAACGATTAATCTATATGCAGCGTAGTAAAATTCTTTTTGCCTTTTTTTTAATATAAATTGAATAATTTAATATCGTATCGAAAAACAAATTTATAAATTGTAGTCAATTTTATTCAATTTAAGTTAAATAAAGTATTGTTTCTTTGAAATTAGGATACTTCGTGAGAAGCGTTAATAGCTTTCGATTGTGCTGCCATTTCCGGTGATTATTCTTCTCGAATAAAGATTCTGGATAAATTGAAGTACCTTCTGATGCGATTGTATGATATAGAAAGTATTAAATTGGAACAAATATACAATTGTTACATTTACAAAATATTGGCTGTTTTTCTTTATTTCTCACTCACAGTAAATGTTTAAATAACTAGAACGATATTTCTTTTTGTAAGATACACTACGGTTTGGAGTACCAAGATTTTTTTTATTTTTGGTGTAAAATAAAGTAATTTCGTTATTTGATTAATTTAATTAATGAAACATTTTATATCTTTAGTTAAATACAAATTTCATGTTTATTTTGCATTTGAATAATTAATTGCGTTTATGATAACAAGTCTGTGTAAAGCTTTAACAAAATTACCAGTTAATAAGTATGTACAAATTAAATTTTACTAGGAGTACTGCTCACAGTGGAGTCTGAGCGAGGTGAAGCGTAACTGACGCTGACCGAATAAATGTTTTTGCAAACTTACTCCCGGTTTATCAAGAAAATATTCATTTTTTAAACAATCAGTGAGGGCGCTGCTGACAGCAAGACTTTAATGATAAATTAAATTCACTCAAAACCGACATACAGTCGCTTCGATTCATCAGTCTAATTAAGACAAACAATATTGAATTTACTTATCTAGATAAATTTTTCTATTAACTAACAATTTTTTATTATCCCCTTTGTTCTTCCTCAGAGCTCCATTTTGATTTGATAAACTCAATTCTCTCTTTAAATCCTCTTTGCCTTCTTATCAAGTCAAGACGCTCCCAAGATGGATATGAGAGTAGTTCAATGTCTTCGAGCCTTTTTGCTCTTGAAAGTGCGACATATGTCAAGCCAGAGGACATTTCTCCTTCACCAATATCGACTGATATTTTAGGCTGCGTCAAACCTTGTGACTTGTGAATTGTAACGGCGTAGGCGAGGTTAACTGGAAGCTGTCGCCGTCTACACGACTGTCCTTTCACATTAAAAGATCGTGTTATTGGCATGATCAGAAATGTTCTATCACTAAAGATATTCGCCTAACTAATTAAACTGGTTCTCTCGACCTTCTCAGAACCTCAAGTAGTCTAATAACTAATGAGACGTTCACCAAGGAGAAAAGACCAGATTTCTGCTATTTCTAGTGAAAAGACCTTGTTCTGGGCTAAAATTAAGTCTAACTCCTTTAATTTTTATCCGATTTTGCACAATATTGAACTTAAAGTTGTTTTTATTTAGATCTTGAAATGTGTGAAGTTTCAAGGCTCTATCGAAGTATAGTCTTCGCTCGGCTTCGCCTCGCTCTGATAATTAATTGTATATCTTTTTTGAAGTGTCCATGAAAATATCAAACTACAAAATGTGACACCTACCTTAGTTATTTTAATCCTTGGACGATGACAGTTAAAAAATCAAAAATTCAAATTTCTGAAGTTGTTAAATTGAAACATTCCAAAGCTTCAGAGCATCTGAAAGTTTCAAAATGTTCAAATATTAACAAATGTTTTATTTTGAACATGTACTTTTTAATAAGTGCAACTTATTGCACATTTATTCTCCGAACTATTAAATCACCGTGAAAACGTAAAAAATCGAAAATTTCTTTATTTTATAATTATCAAGGTAAGTATTAATCAAGAAGGTGAGTATTTCAAGATTGTTTAAATGCACACACTATTTATTTCGAATGCATAATCGTACGGTTAACATACCTGGTTTCGCTTCATTCTGATTTTGAATCATTCTTGCACCGGATATACAAATGATGATGAATCGACCTCGCTTTTTATCGGATATTTGGGGATTAGAATCAACTATATATAAATGTCGATACCTTTACGATGTACACACAACAAACGTTCAATTACTCTTGCTTCGTTCCGTTTTCTTATTACGAATATAAATAATACCGACTTAAAAACTATTTTACGCTCTTTTTTTTCTTATTTATTTATTTGCCTATAGAGATTACGTCTAAGAAACTGCGGTTAAAAATCTCTGAGAGACTTTCTTTTTTTATTTTCTTCTCACTGATGCATGTTTTCTTCTTCTCTTCAATCACTTCTTTTCGTTAAATGTTTTTGTATTTTTTTCTCTTTTAATCGTTAATTGTGATTCGAATAAATAAAATAATTATTTGCAAATTTTTAATACAAGGTTTTGTCTTAAGGAAATACAAATAGCTATGTGGTGGTAGATAATTGCGTTGGCGTTTTTAACAAAATAATCCAATGATTAACGAACGTGTGTCGATAGTTTTGCTATCTATCTTGCTCGATTATTATCGAGATCAAAATATTGCTAACAACGTAGAAAATATTTCTTATGGCAAGGTTATGGCTTACCATAAGAAACAGTAATATACACTTGAGGGCAATGTAGGCTTCCAAGTTTAAAAAGTTTCAAATCTTCAAATTCCTAAGTTTTTAAAATTTTTAGATTTAAAAACTCGATTTCCAAGTTTTCAAATATTCAAATCCCTAAATTTCTAAACTTGAAAAAACTAAAAATTTGGATATCTGTAATCTAAAAATGTACCAATCAATAACCAACGAATAATATGTGCCCCCTTTCCAGAGCCGCCACTTTCCCCATGGAAGCCCACCATGCTTACCAGTGTACCCCTAAGTTAAACGTCATTTCATCGCTAAACAGTTTTCTTGCTAATTGCATTATAATTCGCGGCAAACAAGAGATTTTCCTCAAAGAGAACAGATAACTATTTCACTTTGAGCAGCTAGTCGAGGAAACGATAGTAACTAGAAACGTAAAAGAGATCTTTAAGCGATAATTATCGATTTACACTACTGGCGCAGCTGTGTTTCATCACGTACATTTGTTTGATGTTGATATTTCGTTCGACAACGACAACGAACAGTTGTTTCTCCTGCGAATCTATTCGAGGCAAAGTTCTTATCTTTTTTGCTCTTTTTTAGGCGTGTACGAGTAATTTAAGAGTACGGTTTCCTATCCATTCAACGTAACGTCGATGAACATTCTAATAATTAAAACAATGATTAAAAAGCATTAACAATGTATCATCGAATGCTGTAACGTGTACACGCCTATTAATCTACAAAAATGAACCATTTCTTGTAAGTAGAGGTTTCTGTCTCAAGAAAAATGAACACCGTTAAAACTGTAAATTCTTCATCAAAAAGGCAATCGAAAAGTCCTTTATGATTTTGCAATTTGCGGCTTGCTTTTCGTGACATGACCGATTAAAGATTGCGCGTTTGAATTCTGACGCTGTTGAGCGAAAACCCTCGCGCATGCGCAAATGTCTCATTACGGTTTGCACTTAGGTATTTGAACGCTGAATATTCAATCATTCACATTACAAGAACCAAGCATTAGATTGAAAAATGATATAAGACATTGCAATTTCTTTTCAAACAAAGAATTTTAGTGCAGTTGAGTATACATATCTCTTGAGACACCTTGTACGAGCTTGATACTTATCATACGAATGTCTCCTAATATCATTATCGTTATCGCCTTTCTTCATCTTTAAAAGTTTAGAACTTTATCAAAAACTAACTATCTTTCATCGATTTCGAACGTCTTCTCCTTGCGTTTTCCTGTATCTAACGTTTGTGAACTAACGTAAGTGAAAGAAGCTCAAGTCTATGGAGAGGATGTCGATACCGATGACCACCACGGTCACTGTAATCTCGGGGACCAATATTGGGCCGCCATGTCAGGTGCTGGTTGTCCTGGTACTGCGATTGGAACGCTAACGCCTGGCGATATCAAACCTACAAATAATATGATTATTTTATTAAATGCCTTGTTGATTGTCAATGGACATATTCTTCAAATGCTTCTTATAAATTAGCTATAATACTTTACATATAAATGGCTTACTGCCCTTGTATAACACGAAATATTGTATATTTCTTTTTGGAAAATTTTAGATTTTGTATGCAATACATAATTGTTAAAATTTGAATGGTTGAGAATTTGGATACTTATGGACTTGATAATTAGGGATTTTATATACAATAAATAGTTGTTAAAACTAGGGAGTTTTGGGACTTAGTTAGTTGAAAAATCAGAAGTTCAGAAATTTAGGAACTTGCCAGTTTGAAAAATTAGAAACTTAAGAATTTGGATTTAATAATGTAGCGGAAGAATGGATTTGGTATTTAGGAAATGCTGACTGGTAACTAGGTAACTTGAAAAAACCAAAACTACCAGATTTGATTAACATCAAACTGTCACTTGTACCATTAAAAATACCCTAACTACCAATTCTCCAAATAACTGCATTAATTTTTGCAAACCATTACTCTTGCAAACACCTAATAGCTTTCCAACAAACTGAAAGTTAACAATGAATGTTGAAATATAAAAGCGTTTAAAAGCCCCTCTCCAAACGAAGACCAAAATAGAATAAAAGAATGAAGAAGTTTACAACGGTAAGGAAATGTCATTGTTAACGCAGAAGCGAATATGGTCCATTACCAGCAGGCTGGATAGGGTGTTATCCGTGGTAGTCCATTGGCTAAAGTGCAAGCAGCGAGTGCAGTGAGTGCGGTAGACACTCACCGGTCGAGCTGGTGTTCTGATTGTACTGATTCAGGCCCGCTGCATGGTATGGCTGGGTCGGGCTGCACGTGGGTCGTGCTCCGTATCCAAGATGAAGAGGTTCGTAACTCGGAGGACGAGCAACTCCACACGAGTAACCGTTGTCCCGTTGTTGAAGACACGCTCCAGGACTGGGACCCACCGTCATGCCTACGGTCATGCCCATAGGACCCATTCCACCACCGGTTGATAGCGACGACATGCTACTGGTCGTGTGTTGGTTCTGTTGGCTACCGCTGGACATTGTAAAGCTGGGCATAGATGTCATGGGACTGAAATGATAGAAAAAGAATTATTGTTAATGATTGTCTGAGTGTCTGGTTCATTGTGTATTATAATATACTTTTTTGCTTTTAGTGTTGGGCAGTTTGAAAATTTGCCTCAAATATATTTACAAATTTCAAATTGTTTAGTCGTTCAATTGTTTAGAAATTTACAAATAATCAATTCCTTAACACTATATTTGCAGAACTCATAGAAATGATGGATCTTAGGTTTCCTATTTTTAATTACGAAAATTATTAAGAAGCTTTTATCAGAATGTTAACCTTCTTTGAGATATAGAATCATTGTATAAGCTGATTTACGCATTATCCATTAGTCAGTTATATTTATAGTTTACTTTTAATCTAAATACAATTTTTTGACATTTTATAATTTTTAATTCTCTTCTCTTAGCTCTGGAGTTCTCTGGTTCCCAACATTTCTCAATTGCCAATTTCATAAATTTGTCAACGTTCTCCAAATACTTATGAGAATTCTTACCTATACGAGTCAGGCATGCTGGGTATCCCAGGATAAACGGCAGTGGGTGCAAAACCATGATGTATCCTAGGTGGAGAGGGCGGTGCTTGCGGCGGTGGTTGACCAGCCAAAATACCCGAAGCCGGTGGCGGTGTCGGATGACCAGCACCGACCAAACTCACCCCGCCGGTGTGTTGTTGCTGTTGCGACTGCTGTTGCTGTTGTTGTTGCTGCTGCTGCTGTTGCTGCTGGTGTTGTGGGTTGTCCCTCCGTTGCGTGCGCAATTTCTCTTCGCGCCGCCACTTCGCTCGCCGATTCGAAAACCACACCTGAGTTAGTGAACGAGAAGACAGACGAAGATACAGGTCAATCGCTATACTACAGTTCTCGCGGATGAAATGCAACTTTCTTTTCGCGGACACGACGTGCAATCATTATGCAACATGTAATGTGTCAGGGTGACTTCGGAATGATGCTCATGTTGATTACATACGCGTATAAATATGAGATATACCAGTTGCATGCTACGGAATTTTACAATATTTAACTGTCAATTGGTAACGAAAAATTAATGTTACAATTTTATTAAGGGATTAGGATTTTAAAACAAAATACACGTCATGGTTAAAAAATTTTCTCACATATTTGTAGCAATGACATGCATATTTTAAATAATACAATTATTGTTTATTTCTTTAATAATAATGATTATTATAATTAACCTATCAGTGTCATCTAAAAATTACATCAGAAGTAAACTTATTATATAGAATTTATGTGCTTCTTTTTTTTATTTTCTTGTTATGAAATTTTTAATAAAGAGTTAATCGAATTAATTAATGATTCGAATATAATGATTTAAAAAACAAAATTCGATAATGATTGATTTATTAAGGTAAATATGGAGAAGGGAAACAATAGGTTTGCGTAGAAAATATAGTCACCTGTATTCGAGCTTCTGGTAGACCGATTTTCCCGGCCAGTCTCTCCCTGGCGAAAACGTCCGGATAATGGGTTCTCTCGAATTCCTTCTCAAGTGCGTCGATCTGTTCGTTACTGAAACTCGTACGATTCCTTTGAAGCTTCCTTTTTAAACGGAGACGCGCCTGATCGTCGTCCGTGCCACCAGACACACTTCCGGCGTTGCTGTTGTCGCCGCCGCTATTGGTCTCGTCCGAGTGGGCTCCACCTTCTAGCTCCGCCACTGTCAAATAGGAACAAATCTTAGTGAATTTTGCTGTTTTATATTTTGGGACTTTAGATTTTTGAGATTATGGGACTTTGGAAGTTTGAAGTTAGGAGAATTTGGAAATTTCCGGGGCGTTTTGAAAGTTAGGGGAAGTTTGAAATTTTGAAGTTATGCGACTTTAGAACTGTGGGATTATAGTATCATGAAACTTTGTAATTTTAAGACTTTACGACTTTAAGATTTTGGGATTTTAGGACTTCAGGAGTACACCATTTTGGTACTCTGAATCTCTGGACTTTGCAATTTTGGAATTTTGGGACTTCGGAACTAGGACTTGCAAATATTTAAACTTAGGATTTCAAGAGTTTGAAACTTTAGAATGTTGTAACTTTAAGTCTTTGAAATTTTAGGGTTTTAGGACTTTGGCAGGTGGGAGCATTGGAACTTTGGGACCTAAGGACTTCGGACTCTGAAGTTATGGAATTTCAGACTTTTAACTTTGAGATTATCGAATTAAAAAATTTTTAAACTTTAGAATTTCGGAATTACAGGACCTTGAGATTTTAGAGTAATAAAATTTTAGTGTTTTAAAATATTTAAGATGTCAGGTATTTGGAATTATCGTATTTAAAAATTAAAGGCTATGGGACTTAACAGCACGGCATAAGAAGGTATTTTACGGGTATTTCTAGTTTAAATATGTATATGTATATGTTACCGTGAAAGACCGAAATCTGGTGAATGTCGACATTCACATAATCGCTTGGTGTATGTCCGAAATATTTGCTAAATACCATTATTTCGGACTTACACCGGTAAATGTCGACATTCACCATGCACTGATAGTGAATGTTGAACACGTCGGAGATTTATATTTTCTTCTCTGTAATTCAGTCGCTATAAAACGTCACAAGGGTGACGTAACTTTTTCGCCTCTCTTTCTGAGAGGAGAGACCAAGAATTTAAAACACATAGTACATTCTAAGCATACGTGTTCTTCCTCCGTGGCCTATTCTGGCGTGAGTTTCATATAGTATACTGAATAATTTTTCATTGGTAATATAATACTGTATATTCGTTTCCCCTGATTTTAATGGTACAATTAATTTCCTTGCATCATTAATTTTTAAAACGTCAAAACGTTTTAATCGTCTGTAATCCAAAGGTGTGTTGCACTTAGTTTTAGCAGAAACCAATTCAGAAAGTATTTTAGAGTACTTTTCTTGAGAAAATTAAAAACAATTGTTTTCTCGTTTACCCGCAATTAATGCATTTAACTTTTCAAGAAAAAGATCACGATTTACTGCAGTATGCATTCAGTATAAATTACGGTATTGGAAAAAAAAATTAAGAAAACGTTGCTCACATTATCAAAGCTTGCATAAGATTGACAAAGCTGACTGACTTCCAGCAGAGCACAGGATTTGGCGGGAGAGAGCCAGTCGCTTCTTTGTCGGCTCCTCTCTTTTGGACCTCCACCAGAGCATATCTGTGATTGTCGACATACACCGGTGAAGGTCCGAATGTACAAGAATGTAATAAAATATTCGGTCTTTCACCGACGTATTTGGTGTATGTCGACATTCTCCAATTTCGGTCTTTCACCGTAACATAGCTACGAAATGAAATAAATTATAGCTAAAATTTCTTAATCTAGGAACTGATCTGCGAAAGTATTATTAAATTTAGTAAATTTAATTAAATGCGAGGTCCTTAATAGGGGGTGTGAGAGAGTTGCACCTTAACTTCCTGCCGTACAATTTATTTGTCAGATGCGTCATTCAAAACTAATTACGCAGGGCTATAACAAATAAACAAAATTAAAATATTGTGAGTATTTTATATTTAGCGATTCTTGATTATGCAAATTATAGTTGGATTTAAATTTCAAGTTGAAGAATATTCAAAATTTAAGTATGGTTTGTCACATTTGAGTTGCGACTGCGTCACGAGTAGGACCCGTCAAAGCGCAAGTTTTAGTTTAGACCTTTCACAATTTTCTGCACACATTATCAAGGAATATTTGCATATTTCAAATATGCTCAATCAAAAAAGTAAAAAATTTTGTTACTGACCGCATCTTTACAATGTTGCAATATATTTCAAGAGTTGTCGACAGAGGCCCCGTCCGTTTTCTTATATAAATATCCACGTGTGTACACGGGGTATACGTGTGTAGAACGAGCATAGAGAGGGTGGTAGAAAGGGTGGCGTTGCTGGGTGAACCTTATCGTCGGTTTCTGGGTGAACGCGTCGAGGCGTCACTGGGTTTTGGCTCGACGACGAGAACTACGAGAGAGGGATGGGAATCGGGGGGTGGAGAAGCTGGTGGAATGGCTAGAGAGCTCGAGGGGGATGCACGATAAGACGAGAAGCGTCCCGACGTCCCTGATCTCCCTAGCACGATACGTCTCTGTCATCCACCCCCCCAAACTGCCACCCCCCTTCCTCTCTCTTTTCCTTCCGTTTTCATCCTTTCTATTGCTATTTTTTCCCTCCCTTTTTTGTTTCTATCTCTCACCCTCTCCCTTTAATTCGCAGACCCGTTCAGGAATCTGTCTTTCTCTTGTCTTTGCGCGACGGTAATCTTTGTTCTCTTACCTCTTCGACGCGCTAATGGAAACCTGATAACAACTTCGATAGAGTCTCTTATACCCTTGCACCCTTTGCTGCGAGACTTTCTCTGACGTCTCCCAGCATTTGCTCCTTTTGTCGATGGATACCTTCGAGACAGACTCTCGTTTCGTATCGAGAAGAGGGGGAGAAAAAGGGAAAGAAAGAGAGATGTTAAATACAGGTTTCGACACCGTGATTTTACTCGATTTTTAAATATTTGATCGTGCATGACTGGGATTAGTCATGGCTGATGTACATTAGGGTTCAATGTGAGCTACGTATGAAAAAGGACCTTTGAAATTTGGAAATTTTCAAATTCTTAAAATTCTGTGTTTATAAACTTTTGATTGTCATATTCTTGAATTTCCAAACATGACAATTTTTTAATTTCCAAATTTTCAAGTATCTAAGTCTATGCAATCTAAAATTTCAAACTATCTAATGTTTACATTTTCAAATTTTTAAAAATCTCAAATTCTAAGATTTAGAAAAAATTACAGGATTTCCAAAATAGATTCCTATATTTCCAGATTTTCAAATCCTTAGATTTTCATACGTTAAATTAATAAATCTTTATATTTGCATATTCCTAGGTTCTCAAATCTCTGAATCTTTAAATACGTTGATTCCAAAATTTCTAGATCCTTGGACCCTAGATTTTATGCTCCAAATTCCTAGACTTTATGTTCCAAATCCTTAGATCTTCGAATTAGTTGATTACAAAATTTGTAGGCTTTCAAATCTCTATATTTCCATATTTTCAGATCTCCAACTCCTAAATTCGTATACATTCGTATATCGCCAACTCGGAATACTTTTAATGATTTATAACACATTTTTCTTATTAACATTCTAAACGCATAATAGCCTGAAATTTTTAATTTTCAAATTTTAAGATTTTTGGATTCTTATATTATGAAATTAGGAAAGTTTCTAATTTCCAGATCTCAGATTACTAAATTAATAAACTTATAAATTCCTGCAAGTTCAAATTCTTGGATTTTTATGTTCCTGAAAATCATTTACGAGGGAAGTTTGTCGAGCGCTAATAACCGATTTTAATGAAACTTACGGAGTACGTAGTTTTTGAAAAAATATTTGACCCATATTTTTTTATCGACAGTTATACATATTTAGGGGATGAAAACGGCCCTCGTAGTTGGGGATAGAAAACGCACTTTTCTCAATATTCTGAAATTTTTTGTAACGTAAAATAATGTTGCATCTGAAAATTTATTTTTTGGCAGAAAATTTGTCTGTATAACTGGTTTTGCAAATTATCGTTTAAAAATTATAATGAATTTCAATTTTTTTTTTAGTCGTTAGGAGTTTTTTTTATGATGCGGTTTTTGTCTAATTCTATTTGTTTGAATTATAAACTAATATATGTACATATAATATAGACTAATTTCCAAGTATATCTTGTTTCTTACCATGTAGTTGTTTTGTAGCGAGTTATTTTGTATTGTATATGTGAACGATATAAATCTGAACATACATACATACATACATTCATGTTGTATTACATTGTAAGATACAATGTTTAAATTTTATTATAATTTATAATATGCTGCATTAAAGCATAATAATTATAGAAAGGTAACTATATAAATAATTATATAAATAATTATAAAAACCAATAAAAATGTATACTGCTATTATAGTCTTCAAATAAATAAATATTTTACAAAACAGTTTATGTAGCCTTTACCAGCATAAAATACAAAATTTTCTTATACATTGTTTCGCATTAAAAAAAGTTTTCGAGATACTGAGAGAAACATGTTTTTCATCTCCAATTTCGGGATCTGTTAAATATGGATAGTGTTCGATAAAACAAATACGAGTGAAATATTTGTTTGAAAACTACATACTGTATATATTTAATTAAAATAGATTATTACTTAGAAAATCTTGTTACGTCAAGCATTCTGTGAAAACTTCTAAAATACAATTGATCTGAAGCAATTTGTCCATTTACAGTTCGTAGATTCAGAGAAGAAAAGGCATGATTATGCACTGGTATGCGTCGCCAGTGTTGATGAAAATCCAGCAGTGTGATTGTGGGTCAACGGATTTGTGGAAGGTGGCAGAAGAATAATGAGTGATCGTAAAAGAGCGGGTCTGTTCGCGAAACCGTTAAAACACGTTGTTCGGGGAAGAGGGAAAAATAGGCTCACGCAGTAAAGATGGCGAACTCGTTATGGGGTTAATGGTTTCGAGCATACGAGTGGCGAGTGGAGCATTATTAACGCCGATAATGGTTGCCGCGCTAAACGTCACCCTCGTCCGAAATCGAACGTTTCTATCGCACTCGAATTCGACTATATACATAGAGGCAGTTACAATGAAGATTGCGGATTCAACTCGTGCCTCGTGCATAGTTTACGGTCGATCGC